CAAATTTTACTGCATCATATGCATGCATAAAAATGCTTATGGCAAACATTTACACTTGTGGGTCCCAACAGAGTGCTTAGGCATTCAAACTCTAACAATTACATTGTTATGGATGATTTCAATAGTTTTCGTTTTTTTTGGGACACCCTGTAGAATCGTAAGACTCATAATAATCATAAGAGCCAGTGGAAACTATATTTTAATATAGCTAGTATTCAATAATCAAAATTATTGAATTATATTATATACTTACAACCAACTTGACACTAGACTTGGCTATTTATGCAGTAGCTCTTACATCGTATGCTAGCTAACATTGTTATTTAAAATTGTAAGTACTGTAATTTTTTAACGTTGCATGCAAAAAAACCTTTCAATATCCGTGCGATTAATTATGCTTTTGTTAAGATTTGTAACATGCTTGTTTTGACCTAATTATCTTCCATGCATGCAAAGATAGCTATTTTTAAGTTGAAATTATTGTGTTTTAACCGGATACTGAGCTCAATAAAGTGTTTCTGGAATATAATGAAACATTTCTCTTTCAAACAGTTCTCTTTCAGACAGTTCTTCTCGTAATCTATCACGTTCTGAAGTCACTTCTTTTAAACTTCTTTTAAGATAACAAACGTAGAGAACAGCAACAGGAAAGACCGCAGAAGCAGCGATGGCCAAATATGTCTCGTATTCGCTCTCTTTTCCGTTTCTCATTTCCTCGGGCAACCCCTGATAATCTTCAGTAAACTTTTTCATCTCCACAAGGTTCTGCTGACGAGTGGCTTTTTCCCCCGAGAAATCCATCTTTTTCTCATCCAATTTTGTTCGTTCGCCACAAGCAATTGATACCACTTGCCATAGAAGCAAGGTAAAAATGATCATTTTGGAGAAGTATCTAAAAGCATGATCATTTACACATGAAAAATTCATAAAATTTGATACATATAGAATATGGGCTTTCCACTGCTATACTTTTTAAAATTAATACGTAGTCACACTGCATGTCTTTTACATTTTTGCAACGGGTAGGGCCTAATAACTAATAGGGCCTAATAAATATTGGTTTTCCATCGCGAGTTTTCCATATAAATTTGTTTAACGCGCAAAAGGTCTCGGAAAAGAAACTGAATTGTTACGCTGACACATCAGACAGACGACGGATTTGCATGGCTAGATTGAGATCTACGCGTTATTTAGGCATTTCTTATAACGGATTTAGAGTAAGTCAGAATAGATTACACGGCCTAATTACTCGTTCTCTAGGAGAATGCGAGTCTAGACCTCGATGATCCAGAATGTATTGCGCACTTGTATCGAAATCTCACAATATTGGCATTGCGCATGCGAGAAGTGACGAAATATAATTATTGGATAAAACTACCCCCATTTTACAAACAATACGAGGGATGCAAAATACATACTTATGTACAGAACACATTACTACGGTGCTACATTTACATATTGCTTGGCGCGATGTTTACTTTTAAATTCCTATATAAAAGCAAGATTTATCAAGTAATGTTTTGGCAGACCAGGCTTAGACGCACAAATGTTTATAAATGACACTTAAATACCTGAATGTGTCAACTGACGACAGACCTTAATTATGAACAGATTGAACAGTAGAAAGCAGTACTATAAAACAATTAGTTTTTTGAACGCTTTCGTCGGAACTAGAACACTGCACTCTGCAGTCGATATATACAAGCATTGATACAGTATTAAATATGTCACGCCGTGCGGATTCATTGTTAGGCTATACCTATAATCCCGGTACGCCATTTGTGAATTGTGATAATAATGTAAATGTATTAAAAGTCCTGAAAAAGTTTAAAACGATTTTCTTGAAAGTTTCATATTGTAGATATTTATTTGCTTTTCGCTCAATAGTCAAATTTCATTTGTGGTAGAACGGGTCGAAAACGCTTAAAAGCAAAAAGGCAAAAACCAGCGAGATAACATTTGGGGTTGAACGGTGCGCAGATATTTCAAACTCAACAGAATCAGACGCGGATGAGCACAGACAGTTCGTAATATAAAATATACTTTAATATGTTCCCGAGTGTTCCCGAATAAATTTGGATCGAAACCACAGTAAGCAAGTTCGAACTATATAACATAATAGATAATGATGACATGCTTTAACTACCACAAAGCTGTTCGCGTGACAATGTCATTGAACACGCGATCATTTAAAAACGCAATAATCATAAAGAAATAAGAAATTAATATTATAAACCATGCTCTATCACATAGCGCGCATCGTCTAGTTATACGCATCAATAGATAAAGTAACTAGCTCAAATAACTATACAAGCACTGCTGTTCGTGTACAAAAAGAAAGGTCAATGTGTACTCACTTTGGTTTACGCGCGCACCGTAATGTTGATAACGTCCAAACCACCGCGAGTACGTAGATACGATAAACACGACTTTGATCGATGTAACGAACGTTCACAATTGGAGAACCAACAACTTTCGAATAATAAACTGACTGATGAATTGACCTTCTTTCAGTCCGGACTTAGCAACTTTTCTACACAAGTATGTACCCTGAACGTAGGCGCAACTTGATTGACAGGTACAATAAATGTAATTTCCAGCTACGTTCATTGATAGTGCGCTATCACCATGTTTACGTTTTAAAACTAACATATATCAAAGTGACAATCTGACAATCTTGACAAGCAGTGCACAACAGCACTCCTTTCTGTTACTGTATCGAAAGCACAACACTAATATTTTGCAATATTTAGATGCAATGCATCTCACCCATTGCGGGTTCATACAATTGACCTCACTTCAATATTAATGATTTTAACGAAACTTAAAACCAGCCACTTAGCTTTTTTAAGGAAGCTCTTAATTATATTCAAATTGTGACGCTACATTTATCAGTCTTACTGGTAGCCTGTTACGGATCATGTTTATACAAGACAAACTTCGTCCACATTAGAAATTCTGTAGTCTGACATCACGTCAATATTAATTATTTTAACGAAACTTAAAACCAGCCACTTAGCTTTTTTATGGAAGCTCTTAATTATATTCAAATTGTGACGGAACCTAGCTATATTTACCAGTCTCACTGGTAGTCTGGTAGGGATCATGCATATATAAAACAAACTTCGTTCCACATTAAAGATTTTGTAGTTCCACATTAGAAATTCGATACAATATGATAATTGACATTTTATTTACCAGAAACTATGTACTACAGTACTGCTGACTTTTCCTGAATATTTTTCATTTCTCATCAAGAATTGCACCTTAGCAGTGCGACTTTTTATGCGACAAGAGAGAGAAAAAGAGAGCACCATCACATTAGATATATACAAACCTTTTCGATAAATTCTTCGCAACATCTCCAAGAATTTTCTTGTGTGACATGAACCAACCTTTGTCGCGAAGCCTGAGAAGATCGTCTAAATTTATATGACAAAGATATGGGTAGAATCTGGGTAGAAGTTCTCGCTTATAACGGCTCAAGCATGTCTTTGTACTATTATAATTATCGAGCTTAACTGCTTAACACCCTCATTAGTATTCAGTAACTCATGATTATCATGTCTTTGTACTATTATAATTATCGAGCTTAACTGCTTAACACCCTCATTAGTATTCAGCAACTCATGATTATCATGTCTTTGTACTATTATAATTATCGAGCTTGACTGCTTAACACCCTCATTAGTATTCAGTAACTCATAATAATAATAATATCATAATAATAATAATAATATTATACGAGCTACTCATTGTTATTCACTAGCGATTGCGCCCCCCGCATTTGCTGGGGGATTTCCCTCTGGTTTATTAATATTCAAGCTGTACTAGATTTGTGGGCTAATAGGGCTATCCGTTCGCGTCATGCGTCATAGTTAAAACAGCATCATCCAATAATTGCCTAATATTTACCAGTCTGGCAGTCTCCTTATATACACCTTACGATTATCTTTAACATAAATTGTGGGACAGATGTAATGGGAAGTCTTCTGGCTACAGCAAAACTCTCTTGCCAAAGTTGCATGATGAAGTTCTTTCATCACTATTAAACTTAAGCCTGGTTCACATATGCCTGGGGTAAGCCTGTGACGCACCGCAGGAAAATTGTGCATCCATAATAATTCTCCACCGCCGGTAGCTCGGCGTCACCCCCGACAACAAGCCATTCGATCCTGTCATGTGCTAAATTTAGATAAGGCACAAGTGTATTGTGGGAAAGACTTCTACAGGCACACCAGCGGTGTGTCGGAAGCGTGTTCACATATATAAAAATAATAAAAATGTGCTACGTACACCGCCGCTTTGCCGCCGACCTGCCTGGAAAGTTGAACTCGAGTCAACTCTCCCGGCATACCGCCGGCAACTTCTTCTGCCTGCCTGAGACACCGGCGATAAACCGGCGCTGAGTGTTCTCATATGCCTTAAGAGCACCGCAGACATACTTCGCAGGCATGCCACAGTCATATGTGAACCAGGCTTTATAAAACATTAAGCTCAAATTCAATGTTCGAACGACGTTGTAAAGATTCTTTAAGCTTAAAACTAATTCAATGACTTGTGTGTATGTTTGTGTGTGTTTAATATATCTTTGAGATTCAAGTTTGTCAATGTGTATATTTATGTGTATCTCAATAAAGTATAAACTACATTTTGTGTGATCAGCTTTGAGACAGTCAAATCAGTATTATGTAGTTTGTTACATCTGATGCCGCTAAAGGTAGCTGAACAAATTAGAATAATTACATAAATTACAGCATTTTTCAATGAGGTTACGCAGTAACCAAGGTTACCAAGGTTACCAAGGTTAATATCGTAGGAACCGCGCGCGGACTGGACACAAGGGCAGCGAGGGGCCTGGGACGGGGCTCATAACTCTGGAAAGGGGCGGATATAGCAACATGGTATCACACCTAGGATTACCTATAATCAGTAAGTCTGCATCTCTCTAGGATTACTCATAATCGTATATTCTGGAACACAACTGGCACACATACTCTTCCCCCGTTCCCCGGTACACGCTTTAAATACACAAATTCGTATCAATATGGCGGATAAACGGAGCGTAAGCGCAGATGTTACTACAGGTATGATTGTAAATTATGAATAATTCATGTTTTCAATGTTTTTTTAGAATATTTTTAGAACATAATTTGCATAAGGTGTATGTTAGAAATATTTAGTAAGTTTAGTATCGGCATAAACGGCAATAAAACATGAAAAAATGTTTCCTTCTTTGATTTTTATATTGAAAATTTCTACACGATGCCGTCGATGCGGATAGATTTGGCCGGCCCGGTTCTACTATGGTTGTGTCTCCGTATTCTCTCGATGCTGTTAAATGCGCTAGCTTGAACTTACTCATACATGCGGTAACTGATTGTATGCAGTTAGTAGGCACTAACTTAAGATTAATAAAATGCTGCTTCAAACAACCAAAGAATTTTTTATTCTGTGTCAAAGGCTACAATAAGGTCAATAAGGTATCAAGTTTTCTTTCACTTGTGTGGGCTGCAGCAGTGTGTAAAATAAGAATCCTTCCATTTTCATTAAAAATATGCTGGAAAAAGAACCATGCTTTACTGGGAGGAAATTTGCCAAACACCTATATTTTTTTCAAGAAAACCCCCCAATTTTTTTATTTGTAAAAGAAAATATAAATGATTTGTATTGTATTTGAAGTTGAAAAAATGAGTTGAAGCTAGAAATGAGTTGACTTTTTCAATTTTGTTACAAATTCATCAATCAGACCAACTAAAATTACAATTAGGTGATGTTCTAATATGTTGATTGGTTGACATACATGATTGTGCAAGCAGAAACCCAGTCAATGAGATAAGATTTAAATGTAAACATAGAAGGATTTTGAAACCAACACATGCTCTGGCTTTTAGATCAGAATTAAGACTGTTCTGTAAGATTAGTGTATTCAAGCGTAAAATGGTCTGCCACTCTGCCTGAATAGTATGGATGATGCACAATTATGAATCAGAAAATTTCAAAGTGAAAATTAAAAGTAGAAGATCTTTAGAAATTAACTTATTGTTTAATTTAAATGCCTGAACAATTTGCTAAGCCATGGGATGTGCAAATATGCATATTTGATGTGCAAATATGGGATGTGCAAATATGCATATTTGAATAAATCAAATCTTGTATGTTTAATATGTTTTATTTCATGGAACATTTTAAAAAAAATAAATTAATTAATTTCGCACCTTGTTAAAGATTGTGCTTTTCACTGGTGGATTCCAATGAAGAAAACTTTGACTTTCTTCAAAAGCATTTTGTACCACAGCTGTACTTTGAGTCTGGATATAAGTCTGGACAATGAAACTCTTTGTTGAACTATTTTTATACAAGTTATGTTAAATTCACAGAAGTAGAAAGGCTTTGTGCTTTGTACTATTACTATATAAACTATATATATAAATACTATTTCTTACACTGATTTCATAATGCTTGTTTTTAAACAGGAGGATTGATGCCACTGGAATGAATGGTTGAAAATGTTATTTGTTAAACCATATTATAATTTCATTTGTTTAATATCTAGATTTGACGACCAGTGAAGTCAATCCAGAAGGAAATAGATCAAAGGTTGAAGTCAATTGTTCTGAGAGTGACATGCAATGTCTAAGTGGGTTAGATTAATAAATTACTGTTTCTTAATATAGCGCAAAATTAGTAATGTGGAAAAGGAAAGGCAAAGATTGGAGAAGGTTAAAAAAAAGGGAAAGACAAATGTGTCCGTGCAGAAAGATTTACTTAAAACACGGGTAAGGTTATTGCTATATACAAGACCTATATACCTACTGTGTATGTATTTTGTGTAATGTATTTTACAAAATGCTTTCAAGCCTGAATTCTTCACCATTTTTTTATTGAAGGAAGAAAAAAATTACATTCTTGTACATCTGTTTTCTGTCTTAACTGTTAAAACGAGGTGTTTTATAGAGATTAATTACTTCATGGTTGGCGAGTGCGTACGATTTTTATGGACGAGTTGTGAAGGATCGCAAAACGAACGAGTGAGTTTGTGATCCTTCACTACGAGTTCATAATAAAAGTCGTACAAACGAGCCAACCGTGAAGTAATTTATTTATTAAATGTGTATAGAGATCAATTTGACAAGGACAGTAATATACAAAAATACAGCGAGCAACAAAAATCGAAATTTTATACATCAAAACATATTTATTACCGTTCAGTTCCTTTGTAATTTTGTTCAATAGAAGTTAGATATTCTTTCCGAAAGATTTAAGAATGTGCTGAATGCAAAAATATTTTAAATATAAGAATTATGTTTTGAATCTCACTCCTATATTTCGACGCCATCTTGACTGAAAGAAAATGTAAATAAATTGCCGCCAAAATGACATACGTCCATGCATGAAATTAATTTACACGGTGAAATACGACTTTTATTTCATCATTCTGCTGTGCATAAATCTCTGTACACATATAATAAACATATATCCACCATTAGACCTTTCCCCTTATAGCTTTCAAGTGCGCAACGCGTGACGGTAGTTGATTATCCAGGTCAATTTGAGTTGTTAAAAGCTAAAAGGGGAAAGGTCTATTCCCATAAAGAATTACTGATTATAGTTCATTATAAAATAACCGTTTTATAACGCCTGCGCTGTTTAGTTGAAATGGGAAAAATCCGTGTTTTTAAAACGCAATCTAACACTGAAAGCTTTACGCAAATCTGAACACAATGTATTAAAATTAGCTTTTCCGTCGAAACATCAGTTAAAAATCTTCGTCAATCTGAAATTTACCATATCTTTAATTTATTCGCTCGAAATGGCGTGGAAGCAAACAGTCGCCCCGTTTTCCAAAACTGGCACGCATGTTTCTATAACTATAGAATTTTTTTCATTATTTTAGGCAGATATTCTGTGGGAGCAGCATAGTTACGACGTGGTCGTTCTCTTTCACTCGTGCAAGCCAGGGCCAAAACAGCGTCACATCTTTGACTTTTATTCAACACCTGGCTGTGGCAGAGCGTTCATGGGCGGCGGGGTCAAAGAAAGGAGCTCATCTTCATATGGTGCTATTGTAATGAAAGCCTTTGAAAAGTTTTGCCGTGGTATATTTGCTTATTACCAGTTGTTATGTATTTATAATAAGAAAAGAATCATTATACAACTTCTTTTCAAACTGAATAGTTCAGTGAGAACTGAATAAGCTTCATTTCGTTTTGATTCAGTTTCATGACCAGATTAGCAGTTACCCAGTCATCATGTAGACATCATTGCTTTTTTTCCCTCTTTTAAGAAAATTCATCGATGTTCAGGGAAGCTGGCGTAAAAGATGCAAGCCAACAAGAAACGCCGACTACCTCTAGCAATCCTGTTGTCGTGAAAGATGGTGAATTTTCACCGGGGGAACTGCCTGTACATTCTAACGCTTTAGCTTCGGTGAGTTGTTATTTGTGAAATTTAGCCCATGCACTTCAAATCGAATGTATCGTAATGTATCATGTATTATACTATGTATGTCTGGTGAGAGATCCATTAAAAGAATATAGTATAATGAAAAAATTGCTATTTTTCAGACTTCTTTCTCAACGCCACCACAGCATAGCAGTGACCAAGAGAATGTGCCCACACATACGCAGCAACAAACAGATCTCCCTTACCTTGCCCCTGAAGAAACCTCTATGTCCACACGACCAATTCCTAGTCGTCCGGAAGGGAATGTCCCAATCCCAGCCCAGCAACCAGAACGTTTTGTGTCCACACCTACAATTCCTAGTCGTTTAGACGGAAATGTCCCAACGCCTGCCCAACGACAAGAAAGTGCTCTACCTTCCAGACCAAGACAAGGGCGTTTAGAGGGGACCGCTCATAGACGTGCAAACGATCCTGGTAGCGTTAAATTTATTGAAAGATCTGTTGATTTTTCCGACAACCGTCCATCGCTACCAACTCCGATAGCACAATTGGGATCAAGTTCGCCAGATAGATCTCTTGTGTCCCTCGTAAATCATTCTGGTTCAATGAATCCTTCAACGGCCAAACCTTGCGATGTAACCTGTTACAAAGTAGGTGGTGAGAACACAAATTGTTGGGTTTTTCCAGCAAACATAAGCCAAGCCACCCTTGACGGTCGAAATGGCAGTAACGCCTGCACTGTCATTACGATGATCTTGGGAAGTGTTATATTGCATTTGGATCTTCCATATCCGCGTGCTGGCCCATTAAGTCCATTGTGGTGTTCTCTGGTAGAAAAAGGTATTCGTCTTGGGAACAAAATTCACGACGAAAACGAGCAAGGAAGACGAAATTTGACCCCACTTGAAGCCGTTTACGCACTACGTTCAGTAAAGAACATCCATGTTGACGAACCGTTAGCAGTTCGCTTACGTGATCCACATGAGCCTTCTCAACTCGCCTACCAAATTCAACGAATGCTCGTTAAGAAAAAGTCAGCCGCAGCATTTGTTCAGGGCGACAGATCATTTCTTTTAATGACAGAGGAAAGCGGACACGTTTTAGCTATCGACACCCACACCCATATGGATGGAAGTCGAGGAGCAGTGATTGTCACTTCGAATGCGTTGACAGATATAGCCAGCTTTATCCTTGCCATTGAGGCGACATTTTCACTTGAAGAGGACTCGTTTGGAAACTTCGTCAAATTTTATTAAATAAAAGTCATTTGTTAGTTAATTTGTTTCTAGCTTATTTTAGCAGTGGTACTCAAATATTAATGCGTTCGGTCATTGTCGTGTGCAAAAATCTCAAAATAACATAATCTGTTGCCGTGGACGTCACAACCCCTCCTTGAAATTGACTTTGAACATCGCCACGATAGCTTTGAGTTCCAAACACTATACTTCATGATATCTCGCATAATTGCAGAGTTCTTTACGCACATTGTCTTGGTAGAGCAGGAACATCCGAAAATTTTATTTTTTTCTGCGAAGGGTTCAATTCCCTTTCAATGTACATTTCTGTAAAATTTTAGAATTCGCTGAAAAATCGAATGTATACTCCATGACACCACAGTTAATAGAATATACATCATACATGGTTTGGAGACCACATAATTAGGCAGATTTATGCACAGATAAAGCATTTAGCATTTTATAAGTTGCATTAAATCCCCATGGGCTGAAATTCGTGAACACGGCATTCAAATTTTAACAATGAGTGATTTCAATACTTTTCGTTTTTTTTTGGGACACCCTGTACATGTTTTAGGTCAATTAATGGGTTCACTTATTTGATATGCTTCGTATACCCATGAGATATTTTACGCAACTTCTGTCAGTTAATTTGAATTTCAAATCAGTTTTTTTTACTCACCCTGTATATGAAAACGAGGATCTACAGGGTGTCCTAAAAAAACCGAAAACTATTGAAATCACTCACTGTTAAAATTTGAATGCCGTGTTCACGAATTTCAGCCGTGGGGATTTAATGCAACTTATAAACTGCTATATGCTTTGTCTTGCTATATGTAGAGAAAGGAGACATGTCGAAGGTCATGGTCCTTGAGATGTACATTTAAATATTGTTATCCATATTTGTAAATTGTAAATATTGTTAATAAATATCATTTTTGTGAACAAGCAAATTTTACTGCATCATACGCGTGCATAAAAATGAGTATGGAAAACATTTATACAACTGTGGGTCCCAACAGAGTGCTTAGGCATTCAAACTCTAACAATTGCATTGTTATGGGTGATTTCAATAGTTTTTTTGGGACACTCTGTATATCTATATATATAAAACCCCACTGGGGTTTTAGACTTTTCAACTTTAACTATCATACTTTTAAACATAAAAGTGTGATAGTTACAACAGCAGAGTTAAATGACAAGAAATAAACATGTAGTACTACATGCAATCAGTTTCAGAGACACACCACTTTTTTACTGCAAAGTATTGAAGACATTACCCCTTACACGAATTTCAAAGCGAAGCAATACGAGCTGCAACATTAGCTTTTTTATTAGCTTTAAATTCTGAAAACGTTTTGGATCTTGCGTTTAAAATATCATACACAGACACTCTGCTTCCTTAGAAAATAGGAATTTAAAGAATAACCCGAAAAGCATCTTACAACAAGCCCAAAGAGGTACATCTTTCAATTTTTTGGTGATGTATATAATAATATGATGTGATGTATATATAATAGACATATATAGGAGGGCATAGCAACAGATAGGCTCAACTGGCAAAGCTTCATTTTGATTAAAGAAAAAAGGTCACACAACTTTGGTCGATTTTGTAGTGAAGCCATATAATAATTTATAGACATATATAAGGCATAGCAACAGATAGGCCCAAATAAACATACTCGATCGCATTTTTTCAATTTCTTTGAAATTTTGGAAATATGAGTTAATCATGGAGACTAACAAACTGGCAAAGTTTCATTTTGATTAAAGAAAAACTTAAGGTCGCACAACTTTGGTCGATTTTGTGGTGAAGCCGTATAATAGACAATATATAAGGCAGGCAACCAGATGGGCATATCGAAACATACTCAATCGCATTTTTTCAATCTCTTTGAAATTTTGGAAATATGAGTTAATCATGGAGACTAACAAACTGGCAAAGTTTCATTTTGATTAAAGAAAAACTTAAGGTCGCACAACTTTGGTCGATTTTGTGGTGAAGCCGTATAATAGACAATATATAAGGCAGGCAACCAGATGGGCATATCGAAACATACTCAATCGCATTTTTTCAATCTCTTTGAAATTTTGGAAATATGAGTTAATCATGGAGACTAACAAACTGGCAAAGTTTCATTTTGATTAAAGAAAAACTTAAGGTCGCACAACTTTGGTCGATTTTGTGGTGAAGCCGTATAATAGACAATATATAAGGCAGGCAACCAGATGGGCATATCGAAACATACTCAATCGCATTTTTTCAATCTCTTTGAAATTTTGGAAATATGAGTTAATCATGGAGACTAACAAACTGGCAAAGTTTCATTTTGATTAAAGAAAAACTTAAGGTCGCACAACTTTGGTCGATTTTGTGGTGAAGCCGTATAATAGACATATATAAGGCAGGCAACCAGATGGGCATATCGAAACATACTCAATCGCATTTTTTCAATCTCTTTGAAATTTTGGAATTATGAGTTAATCATGGAGACTAACAAACTGGCAAAGTTTCATTTTGATTAAAGAAAAACTTAAGGTCGCACAACTTTGGTCGATTTTGTGGTGAAGCCGTATAATAGACAATATATAAGGCAGGCAACCAGATGGGCATATCGAAACATACTCAATCGCATTTTTTCAATCTCTTTGAAATTTTGGAAATATGAGTTAATCATGGAGACTAACAAACTGGCAAAGTTTCATTTTGATTAAAGAAAAACTTAAGGTCGCACAACTTTGGTCGATTTTGTGATGAAGCCGTATAATGAACATAATAGTTTTATCCTCACAATTCTGGATACCACAAGTTTATATTCTTAGTATATATTTACAAATCAGCGTTGATGGAACAGGTTGCCTTGATTACTAATAACGTGTGACATATATCACTACATTTGCGAAATGAAGATGTCTGCCACGCAACAATCTGTCAACAAATTGTGTTCAGTCCCACTACTTGCCACATTCTTGTCACACACTTGCTGCGTTGTTATAGGTATAACTTTGATTCATTATAACTTAGTATTCCTATATCGAAGATCATCTTTAATAATTGTTGGCTCCAAAGATGAAATTTTATTGCTTTTCGAGCATTTTTAGAACGGTTGAAAATGTCACTATCCGGTGGATATAGCGTTATCACGCTTTCATACTACAGGCCCCTGGGGCCGGTTGTATGAAGCCCGTTTATCTTAAACGGTGGATAAGACAAAATTAAATAACACTCTTACATCTCTCTTGAATGAGTCAACTTGAATATTATGCACTGAATATGTAGTTGTAAACAGTATCTTTGTATTATGGTTGAAAACATTTAGTTTACTTGTTGAATAAAGCGGCAGGCTTGCTTTCTATTTTGAACTTAACCACCGTTTAAGCTAAACGGGCTTGATACAACCGGCCCCAGGAGTGTAACAGACTTGTTGGGACAGCCTTGTGACAAGTCTGATATCATCCAGTTTGTTTCAATTATTTTCAAACGTGCTTTATCGTACAAAAGGTGGTAGCGACAATGCCTTGAATGAACGCAATGATTGTTAACAGACCGAAAGCTTTGCAGTATGTGGTAAACCTATATACAAGCTAGTTTACTTAGTGATAAGTGATGTCACCATGAAAACATACATGGAAGAATATTATGAACTACAATGATGTTAAAACATTCAACTTTGTCCAGCTTCTGTCTTGAAAACGAGGCATATAGCCTGATATAGGTCGAAATGTCGAGACAATCGCTGAACAACGCCGAATGTAGATGTTTTACTACTCGATGTTTTGCTAAATCAGATTGATAAACGTTTACAAAATGGGATGTGTCGTATAATGATTATAAGAACTAAAATAGAGTATATTTTAAATATTATAGTATATTAGAAACTAATGTTGACCGGGAAAAAGGTCCTTTCTACCGAAATGCTTTAGGCTTCTGTTTCACTGGATTCGTCATCACTTGAACACGGTGATTCGTCTACAGCGTCTTCAACATCAATTATTATGTCAGAAATGCCAGAGACATTACCAAGGACTTTGGAAAACATTTCCACACCACATTCCAGTTGTCGCATAGCAAAATCTATACCAATTCTTAAGAGGGCAAGCTTTCCTTTCAGAACACCAGTCTCTGTTGAATATGTTATATATCTCCCCTGATAAATAGACACAAGAGAACGCGTGTTCATCAAAATAAACAAAAATTAATTTCTATAACTGGACTACTGTTTCATGTACCTCGTTGTTTTCTACCATGGAGCTAATAATTTCAGATTTATCTAAACGAACGAAGTACAACTATAAATAAGTTACTATAATTGTATTAAGATATATAGCGAAGGGTTAATTACAAGGAATATATATATATATATATATATATATATATATATATATATATATAAACACTATTTTATTGACATGCATGACTCACCACTAGTAAGCTGAGCTAACAAGATGGCTTCGTTCTCCTTAAGACGTCTAACAACATTGTTTCTATAATATTCGATGAAATGTTTCATCTCCTTTTCTAAAATGCCAATCTCTTCTTCATAACGAGTGCATTCATTCTCCAACTCAGCTATCTTCTTCTTAACACGAATCGGGTAAACTGTAATAAAAAACATACTTATATACACATGAGCAATAATTAGATAAATACATAATATTATCTGTATAATTTTTGGGCGTTTGTACGTAGAAACACCACATGAATTTAGTTTTGCAAAGTTTTCGGTCCGTAAGTCCCGACTGTGCATCATCTGTGCAAATTCGTAGATGGTCCTGCATGGTTTACGGGTCGAAAGCTCTGCAAAACCGCTAAATTCACGAGTTGTTTCCACAAGTAAACGTCCAAAATTATACATCGCCATGCAAACTTTCAAAGAACTTATAACTGTAGTATTTTTGATAGTTTTTTTTTTCAAATACATGGTATTATACTGCGTGCATGGTATTTCCTGATTATTTATATATCAGGATTCACGATACCGTTAGCCTGACCTTGTTGAAATTCATTCTCTGTGATCCAAGTGAAAACTCCAGATTGAACCTCTTCGACATTGATTGAAGCACTTGGATTTAGTTCATTGTAGGCATCTACAGTTTCTTTCAAGTTGTTCTTGGTGGACGAAATTTTAGTTCGTATTCGACGTTTTTGCTTTGATGAATCTAAAATAATATTTATAGCTATTTATAGTTAATAATATATATATATATATATATATATATATATATATATATATATATATAGCTAATTAATATATAGGTATACTGTATAATAACAAACATTTCGTAAATCTTCAAATTGAAATGAATCCGATAGTTTTATAAAAAATGAATGCATAAAAGGTATAGGATGTAAACGTGCATACCTGCGAGTTTGTTCATATTAGCCGCCAGTTGCACTATTTCAAAGTGTGCAGTCTGCATACTGCGTTCCAACATAGACGAAACATTGCCCCTTAAAGATTTTTCACCGTTATCGAGAACATTCATCCAGTCTGGACCAAACTTCTCTTTTAACTTGGGCACCACAACTGAGAGGTCAGCAGACGCTATTTTTTTATGGTACTTTGGAAATACTTTGACCGCATTGATAACCAAAGGGTTACGACATTCTGAATTAACATGGGTTTCGTTCGCCCAAAAAGCTTCTTCCTCTTCTGACAGAGCTACTCGAACTTTTCTTCTTATTTCTTCTTCTATTAACAAGATACGAAGTAGTGTATGTAATATTTAGCTGCAAGCAAATTATGTTTGTTATTTTCAATGTAATATTACAATTAGCAATATAACGTTGGGATGGCTACATCATATTTTGTAGAATACAGTTTAAGTAATAGTAACGAGGATTTCCTGACTTTTATGTATACCTCTTGCAGATTGAGTCACATCTTGAATCCATGTCTCTGAATTTGTAACGCCTAGGTCATTTTTTGCTTCAGCGAGTTTCTTTTGCAGATCTTGAAAATCTTGTTTTGCCTATTATCACAGAAATAGACAATAAATAATAGGTCGAAATATATTCGTTCATTTGCTAACTGTTATTTTTTGTTGTTGCTGGAATAAAATACTGATGATGTACGTAAGTATTACTAACAACACAATAAAATACACCTTCATATATCTCTTTGCCAAAACTGCTGGCATCTGCATGATTTTTCTCTTGTTCCAAATCAATGCATGCTCAGTAAGTAATTCTTCTCTGCCTGTAAACAGAATACAGTAAATATCATTATTTAGAACTTTTTCTGCCAAATACAACCAAATATAGATATAATATAATCACATGTACACCTTCTGGTAACATATGTTTGGTACTATTTCCAAGTCGAGAAAAATGGCTATTTATTTGTTCGACCTCTTCGCCAGTGGTCGCACCCGCCTCTTTTTGCCAACGACCACCCCAGAGTACCTTAATTAAAAGGAAATTAAATGCCTGACAAATTGATAGAAATGACTAATGTAAGAATGGAGGAAGTCAAAAGACATGGAAATGTGGAAGAATAAGGGGGACGTTATAATAACTGTTTCGTTTTGTGGGTGACACTACGTATATTTCTGTAATCATTATTGTATAAATGGGTATACATAGTGTTTTCCTCACATTGAATAATTATTATTATTTCGCCATGTAAAACTACAAAGACTTTAAAACGGGATTGTTGAGGATAGAGATTAAAAGCTATACTAAGATTTCCAATTTAAACAACTTATCTGATGATTGCACACATCTACCAATGTACAGTATAAATTATAATATAATGTAATATAATGGTACCTGACATGTCCATGAATGGGCTTTGGCATGCATAACAGACAATCCAGGTTTTGTCTGGTCAGCAAGTACAGGGTCATGTTTAATAAGCCATGGCCAGTATTGGCAAACCACATCATACCACAAAAACATCCCATTATTTTTTGTTAGAACATGTTTCTGAAGGTAGTGTGCATAGCTATAAATTTCGCCTTGAAACATATTTACTGCTGCTTGAGCCACGGTATGTCTACAACCAAGAATCTCTAGACCAGTCTCATCAAGGTTCTTCTTTTTCCCTGGTCTATTTCGTGCAGCCCTCCATGTACTATCACCACACATGGAACTTTCAGTATTAGTCTTTATTAAAAAATTGAACATAAAAACATAATTTAATCTTTATTATAAAATTGAACATATAAACATAATTTAAATGATTTAAATAATATCTAATAATAAGGTTGGGTTCCACTCAGGTATATTGTATATAGAAATACTCGGTACTCTGGTACGTTGAAAGGGAATTGAACCCTAAACAGGGAAAGTTCAGTTTCATCCTGCTCTTCCAAGACAACGTTAGTGAGTATGTTCTACAATAAAGTATTAATAAACACAAATATATCTTACATGAGTATATGAATCAATAGGGCTGACTGGAGTGATTTTCTTACCTCACTGATGTTTGTAGTTCCAAACACATCATTCATGTTTGCAGCAACTTTTTCATTGGAAGCAACAAAACACTCTTTGTAGTAACAATTTCTTTGCAACCTAAAATGTTGAAACAAAAGCAAAAGATAATGTTACATAACATTGTGTTCCAATAAAATTTGTTTCTTGTATCCGTATTACGGACACAAAAAGCATGAACACCCTCTGCACTTTTTGGATTAGCGCATATCAGTGCTAAACTAGAAATATGGTGACAGCAAATTAAGCATCCTAACTCACCCTCCAGCAGATCTAAAGCGATATAGCTTCATGTTTCCATCAACGTGTCCTGAATGCTGACTAATTGTGCAAGGAGGACACTCCATCCAATTTTTCTGTTGCAGCAATTCCATTTCAAATGTGCAAAATTTCCATTCTTTGAATGATCTACTAAATGTATTCATGTTTATTGTTGCAACCTGCAGATGAAAAAAAACTAATTAAATTATGGTTCATTACTTCAGTAATAAAAGAAAATTCTTAATAATTATATTAATAATAAAAACAAGCTATAAACTTTACAGTAGCTAGCAGAAAGAAAAAACACAAATACAGGTACCAAGTTTTTTGGTGTCAAATGATTTACCCTGTTTTTATTTAATGAGAAATCTTGTAATCCAAGCACAAATGATCGTTCAGAAACGCCTGGCATTCGCTTCTGCATAATGTCCCAATGTTCAAATAGCTCCTGACTAAATTGTTGAGAATATGATATTGGGGTTCCAGGCCAAAATCCTGAAGCAACAACTTGCTTAATGGAATTATCATTAGGACAGACATTATGGCAGTTTTTGCATTCATAACCAGTTATTTGATCCAAATCATATCGACCTAAAGTAAAAATGATGTTTCTGCTTGGGTTAACATGAGTTCTGGACAGTATTTAATTAATTACTGCACCTCTAATTACCTCTTAAAGTAACATACACCATATGATTGTCGGCATATATAATGTCAAACTCACAAACTTCTCCACAAAAGGAACAGGATGATGGTATAGTGGTTGAAAATTGATAACTTTTTCCTACCACAAAGAATTTTTCAATAGGTAAAAATAATATTGATTAAAATTGTATATACTGATGTTGACTAGTTGTTAGTAAAGTTCACTAGCTGGCAAATAACAGACTGAAAAAAATGCACAAAAAATTTAATGAAAATAAATTTTTTTGGCCCAATTTGTATGAATTAATAAAATCATTTTCGGAATAATAAAAAAAATTGTGGAGTACTGCACTTACTTATGGTTATAATATTTCCATCATCATCAGTGCTTTCTGTTGGCCGAATATACTGGTAGAACCCATCTTGAGATACATGCTGTCTGTCGTGAAAAGGATCATTCTCATGTTGCTTTAGGTCGCAAGTGCCACACAAGCTTCCCCCTCCACAACACTGCATACACTTGATGAAGCCAGATTTCACTTTACACTGCGAACACATCTGAGGTGTTGGTGCCTGACAAGATAAGGTAGTCTCAAATATTGAAGAACGGCAGGATTCCCAATTAGTATTGACATTCTCCATCCTCTGTCCCCATGTCACAGTCCTCCTCTGCTGTTTTGACTTCCATTCTGTTAAGAACTTATCTGTCTCTGCAAGCAGTCTATCAAGTTCTGGGCACAGTAAAACAAATATTAAATATAAGATTTTTCTGTTTGCTAAAATTTATACAGCAAAATGTAGTGGATTATTATTACCATTATTTATACTGTCATCTTCATCTGGTTCATAATGTTGGTGAAATACCTCCTCCAGTTCTACAGAGAAGTTGGGAGAACAAGAAAAGTACAACTTCGATTAGTTTGATAGACTGTTATATACTGTACTGTACATAGGAACTTTGAGAATGCAATATCAATCTAAGTTGAATTAATGTTAGGCAAAAAGTGATGAAGGCCCATAGCTCTAAACGTCGAGAAGTTCTGTTTTGGAAATATATATATATATATATATATATATATATATATATATATATATATACACCCATTTGCAAAAACGTTGGCCGCAGATAGATAGATAGATAGATACTCGAAATCTAATTAGAATTGCATATGTTAATCTAGTCATATGCATTTCTAATTAGACTTCGAGTATCTATCTATCTATCTATCTGCGGCCAACGTTTTTGCAAATGGGTGTATATATATATATATATATATATATATATATATATATATATATATATATATATATATATATATATATACAATCAAGGTCTCTGACTGTCTACATGGTCGCCATTGAAATCAGTACTGTAGAGTATCGGGTATTTGATTGTTTCGCGTGTAATTTTCAATTACCTGTATTAATATCATCAACAACATTTTCCGCGCTAGTTGTCCCTTGATCTTGAAGTTCAGATGAGGATGGCACTGCTAAACTTCGCCTTGACTTCGTCTGTTTTCTACGTTTTGAGAAATAAACACGCTCCCCTGTAGTCGGGCATCGCTCGAAGAAAACAGACTTGTTGCTTCTCTTTTTCTCTTTCTTTTCTTTCTCATCTTTGTCTAGCAAAGCAGCGAGTTCCGACATCAATTCTGCCGCTGTTTTATCTTTTTTCTTAACTTTGGCAGCTGATGATTTTTCCGCCATCTTGCCTGATTTATTTGACGCGCGGTTATTTGAAATGAGCATTGGGATTAGGAGAGACTATAGGATTATCGATTATGAGTAATCCTAGAGAGATGCAGACTTACTGATTATAGGTAATCCTAGGTGTGATACCATGTTGGATATAGCGAGGGATGAGCACGCAAGGAAGCCATTAGCGTATTTAACGTCAGCAAGAGAAGTAGTCCACTAGTTAAAAAATTTTTTTTTAGGTCATGGTTACCTCCACTGAACAGTTGTGTCAGTGTGATAAGCTGCAAACTTCGGGTGGTCAGGTCCAGACTAAGCAGACTCACGTGATGCGGACCTGAATCCAAGTAACTGATAGTGTCAGGGTCGCGGCCACGTCTGCACCTAACCATCCACACGGCTGGTAAGTATAATGACATCCGAGATTAAGACCTTGCAAAAGCCACAGAAAGTTTATACCCCGTTAAGAGAGATTCTTTGAGATATATTCTTAATTTCATTAATCAAACAAGAGTAGCAATAATTGCGATGGATTATACACCTTGGATGCCGTGAACTTAACTTCAATTCGAACCCCAGTTACATTTTCAGATCAGAGTCATTCTTAGTCGCAGTCGGAAAGTGTCGTAAAATGTCGTAACAGGAACAAAACTATAACAAAACACTGAAAGAGAGGATCTCAAAGTACGAAGGATTGGAAGGAACTTTATATATCGAAAAAGATCGCTTTAAACTTTTATGAATTTTTTTCAGTTTGTGGATTGGTGCATCGAAACGATGTACCACAGTTAAATAATGTACGCGAGTGTCGCGTCAGCAGCCAGTATATCCAGTCAAAATTTGAGCAAATTTGGTAGTGCATCTTCTTATGGTAGTGCTGTGAAACATATTGAACAGAAAGATACAAAGATGATGAAGACCGCCACGACACCACCAACGTCGCCAAACAGGTTGAAACTTAAGGAGAAACTGGTTGGAATATATGATACTTTACTACAGGTATGAATGGTTTCAATAAAAAACATTAAACTTTCTGTAAAAAGTTTCTGTAATTTGATTGGCTCTTCCAATCAAACTTGCCTTGTTTATTATTTTATAAAACAATTACTTTATGGTTTCCTGTGTTTTGATGGCCTGATCTAAACACTGGGAATATTGCTTGAGTTAAGACAAGCTTGCAAAGGCTTGTGGCGACTAGCTGAATAGTGCAAAACAATTTAAATCTAGCCAAGTAAGTGAAGTAATTACACATAAGCAATGTTCATATTGGTTGGTTGTGGGAATTTTGTGGTGAGTGTATTGCAGTTTATGTGAAAAATGTTTATTTTAGGGAAAGGATCCAGGCATTGAGAATCACAATTTTTGGCATGAATTTTTCTTGCTGAAGGTAATGAAAATGCTCTTTGGAGAATTAAAAATTATCATATATATGGAGTGATAATTTATACAGTATTCACCATTGGAATGTCTATACTTGTATCCAGATTCATTCAACCAAATCTATTCTATCTTAATTTGTCAGATCTTCGAGAAATATTTCAATTTTCTGATTTTGTATCAAACTGAAACCTTAAAATTTAAAAAACATCTAAAAAATGGATTGAGGACATCTATATGGTTTTTTCACTCCCAGGTGAATGCTGAATATTTAGAGGCTCTGATTGAGAGAATGTCACCCAGTGAGTTGATGGGTGTAAAGGTATGGATGGCTACCAGGAATGACTGTGTACAACTATGTCCTCATGCAGTCTCCATCATAAGAACCATTTAATATTTAGTTATTTTTGTTTGTGAATTTTATTTCAGGGTAATATCAACCTTTTGTTTGCTCAATGTTGTTCAGCATTACAAGATGACTATCCACTAAAGCAAGTCAATGCACTACAGGTGCTGTATGTTGACAAATAAGTTTGGTTCTTATAGTTAACAATTGTTAATATCTTTGGAACAAAATATGCCACTTGGTATTCCAAGTTTTTGTACTTACCCACTCCTAACTACCCCTAAATAGTCATACCCTTCTCTGTCCTTTCATATCCTCAACTACCCCTTCAACACCTCACTCTTTAACTTTCTCTATCCTTAAATTCCCATACATACCCCTAAATACTCCTACACTTCTCTATCCTCTCATATCCTGAACTACCCTTCTTTTACTTCAGACTTTATGTGCAATGGTTCGTGGTGTGTATCATAAGAAAATGATGGACTATGGTTTTGATATCATAAATATTCTTGTTGGCTTTGATGAAGCTGAGTCCCAGATGCAGGTCAGTTTGAGAAAGTGAAATTTTAAGCAGTTTTTGTAAACCTGTGTTTACTGATGTATATAATTGTCAATTTTCAGGCCTTGGTTGAAAACCTCAACACGATACTGGTGGGTGAATTTCCAGGTTTGTTTAGAGATATCTTTACCTATGAATTTCTTTCTAGACCTGGTACACTTATATCCATTTGCAAAGCAATGGAAAAACAAAATTCTCTATTTAATTATTGATCAACTGAGCCTTAAGTACATATTTAAATTTTAATGGTTTCCAACTTCGGCGTATCACCCTTTCAACTAAACGCCTTTACCATGAATATTTTCCGGATCAATAGAAGTCTACTTTTTGTCAAGTTTTAAAATAAACAGCGGTCATGAAGCATATCAACTATATAAAACAGCGAATTGAAATTTAACCCAGCAGGGTTAGCGCTAACCTAGCTTTGAACAGCTCTCTCCTAATTTTCTTGAAATTTCAAAGATCTCTTTACACTTATCATGTACACTAATATAAACACAACAAACTACTTGAATTCTTTGTTCTTTTTCTAGTGAGTCTGAAAAACCTCTCCTTAAAGCTCCTGCTAATATTACTAACGGTATTATAATAAGTATATACAGCTACTGTAGTATTCGTAAAATAACGGTATTGTATAAAATATATACAGCTAGTATTCGTAAAATATACTATAATGTAATGTACAATTACTGTTTAATTTATTTACTGTACTTTCCCACAGGCCACAGATAACGTCAGTCAGAACACTATTGTTGAATACCTCATGATAAACAGCGTGTTTGAATCGATTGTAAAGGTCATTATTATGAAATATCTTTGAAAATTTCATTATTATGCCATCGCTGAACTAATATTATAACATTTTACAACAGTCTTCATCGAATTTTCGCATATTTTCGCGACGATGATCACAGTATTTTTCGAGGGAATTTCGATTGTATTTTTGCACAGCTATTTGAAAATAAAAACCTCGAATGAATTTAGATCGATTTCTAAAAATCTCTTCGATCCCATAAGCAAATTGTTCAAATACTCGCGTGGCGGTCTTTGGTTGCAGGCCAAAGATAGGTTAACAGGCTTTTCAACAAACGCCCACTCATTTAAAAAACGTTTAAATCAAAGCTTTATTATGCGTGAAGTAGGTGAAGTACTTTTTTGAATCGGTGCCCAAAAGTGGGTCTTAATTCGTTTATACTTGTGGTAATATACAATTACTTGATGGTTTCCGTGTTTGGATGGCCTGATCCAAACACGCGGGAATGTTGCGAGAATTAAGAAAAGCGCGCGAAACCATTAAGTAATTGTTTTATAAAATAGCAAACCATAATAAATTTGTTTTTAAATTCCCGCGAAATTTCCGTGTTTGGATGGCCTGATCCAAACACGGGCTTCAACCAATGAGAACACGCGTTATATGAAAGCCGACATTTGACCCACTGGAGTGTTAGTAGAAGGAAACGTAAAGAGTCACCGTTGTACTTGAATTTTGGTTTAGATACTTGCAAGTCCCGTGGGACGACAACAGCATGGATACGAGGCGATTATGCTTCTAACGCTTCTCGTGAACTACAGGAAATACGAGGTTTGGTATTTACTGGGCATCTACGTTCCAAAATATATCCGACTATGAATCATATCATGCCTGTGGTCTAAATTTTGATGAAATAAAAAATATCGAGATCTTCCATCACAGCTAGTCTTAGAATGCCGTGCTTGGAGCATTTAAGTTTGCTTACAATTTGCAAAATCTTGTCGAAGGTGAAATATGGTCTACAAAATTCTGGAACCTTGTACTGTATATATTTGCACTACACACAATGAGATTTTAAAATCAGCTTTGAGACAATTTTGGCAACTTTCTCCCAACGTAATACAAATATATAAAAAGTTCTAAAGGAATTCAGAACGTCGGAATCTTTCACAAGCTGAATCCCTTCGTATTCTTTTTTTATCCTCCCAGGCTTCAAATCCTTATATCGTAAAGCTGTCGATTTTGGATGACGACGTTGCATTAAATGTAAGCAATCGTGTAGCGTCCTAAGACTGTCAAATCATTTCAATTTTTTAAAGCAAATTTCGCATGAAGAAAAATCCACCCACAAAGACTTCGTTACTTCATTTTCAGGGTCTGGGTTGTGTCATTTCAGACGTTCTGACTGAATTCAACAGGTGCGGAATGAGAATTCATGAAACAACCCTTTCCTAAATTGATAAAAACTACAGGATTTTAAATTTTTTTAGAAAATACAGAGTGAAATCTGAGGAACCTAGTGGTGGAATCTTATCCAGCATTACTTCAATGGTGAGGCTGTGAAATATTTTAACATTCAGTCAATCTCTGTGGTCGAATTTGTATCGATTTGCGTGGATGATCACATTGTCATTGACAAAATTTGGGGAAGAATATTTCTTAAATTGGACATACTTGTTCTTTCGAAGCTTGGAAAATATTATGAAATATGAAAAATATAGCCTCGAATCATAGCCCTGGAGACAACCTCGTATCCAGGGTCTTTTCTCGCCCCCCAGAGTCTGAGCACGGAGAAAACACCCTGGGTACGAGTTTGCCTTGGAGATTGTCTCGTGTAGTAATTTTGTATACTTTAATATTACATTTATTACAATCTACTGCACATTAAGGAGCTATCTCAAGAAGGATATTTATCACTTTAACTGTCCATGGAAATTTATCCTTCGGCTGGCTTTAAAATTACTAATATTTTATAAATAGGTTGGCAGCATGTTTGTATCTGAAGAAAGCAGAATTCTTGATATAGGGTAGGAAATATTGTACATTTCTTTTTCTGCAACTTTTTTAGATATTTAGTTTATATATATAGCTAATCAGGGATCGCGGAGCGTTTTTGTATTGTTGGGGAACCGCGCACCTGCTAGGATAGTCCGGGAAAATTTTGAAATATACATAGGCCTCTAAAATTGCCGCAAATAACTCTCAATTTAAGGATTGTTGGGAAATAGTAGATACTTTGTAAAGTTTCCAGCATGTTTGGCGCTCATATACCAACATTAAACAATATAACCTTGCTTTGGTTATGATGTCAAATATTTTTATATGGATAACCACGCTGTTTAAATGGTCAAAAACTTGTCCTATGTAAAGTTGCAAGCATGTTTGACGCTATATACAAACTTTAAAGAATATAACCATGCTTTGGTTATGATGTCAAATATTTTGACATGGATAACCACGCTGTTTTAATGGTCAAATGCTTGTGCTATGTAAAGTTGCAAGCATGTTTGGCGCTCATATACAAGCATTAAACAATATAACCATGCTTTGGTTGTGATGTCAAATATTTTGACATGGATAATCACGCTGCTTTAGTGGTCAAATGCTTGTCCTATGTAAAGTTTCCAGCATGTTTGGCGCTATATACAAACATTAAACGATATAACCATGCTTCGGTTATGATGTCAAATATTTTGACATGGATAACCACGCTGTTTTAATGGTCAAATGCTTGTCCAAGGTAAAGTTGCGAGCATGTTTGGCGCTCATATACAAACATTAAACGATATAACCATGCTTCGGTTATGATGTCAAATATTTTGACATGGATAACCACGCTGTTTTAATGGTCAAATGCTTGTCCAAGGTAAAGTTGCGAGCATGTTTGGCGCTCATATACAAACATTAAACAATATAACCATGCTTTGGTTACAATGTCAAATATTTTGACATGGATAACCACGCTGTTTTAATGGTCAAATGCTTGTCCTATGTATAAGCTTCCAGCATGTTTGGCGCTCATATACAAACATTAAACAATATAAATATGCTTTGGTTACAATGTCAAATATTTTGACATGGATAACCACGCTGTTTTAATGGTCAAATGCTTGTCCTATGTAAAGTTGCAAGCATGTTTGGCGCTCATATATACAAACATTAAACAATATAACCATGCTTTGGTTATGATGTCAAATATTTTGACATGCATAACCACGCTATTTTAATGGTCAAAGCTTGTCCTATATGTAAAGTTGCAAGCATGTTTGGCGCTATATACAAACATTAAACAATATAACCATGCTTTGGTTATGATGTCAAATATTTTGACATGGATAACCACGCTGTTTTAATGGTCAAATGCTTATCCTATGTAAAGTTGCAAGCATGTTTGGCGCTATATACAAACATTAAACAATATAACCATGCTTTGGTTATGATGTCAAATATTTTGACATGGATAACCACGCTGCTTTAGTGGTCAAATGCTTGTCCTATGTAAAGTTTCCAGAACGTTTGACGCTCATATACAAACATTAAGCGGGTTTATCTTCGCCTCCTCACTACATAGGAAAGATAACTCTTACAGCACTTCATGTATTGGTCAATACAAATCTCAAAACTGATACAAACAATTTCTCTCAATTCACGAGCTGTTTTGTGTTTTATCCTTACAGGATCAATAGTATGGTCTTACTCGCTCTATACGAAGCCGTTCATCTTAATCGGCATTTTTTTACCGTTCTTAGTCATGTGACGGTAAGTCGTGACTAAAAAAAATTGAAATTCAATTTTTTCCGCCAAAAGTGAGCGATCCGTACTGCATATCACGAAGCGCTCAGGAACAAACCAAAATGCTCCATTTTGTGTCAGTTTGCATATCATTATGTATATTATATATTCTGTTGTTGTTTCAGACCCCAAATACCCACTCTGCAACCCCTCCTTTATCCCCGAGTTCACCAATACCCGTTGTGGACAGACCAACACACGGTAAGCGAATATACCTTTATCAGGGCCGTAGCTAGACCGCTTAATTTGGGGGTTGTATATTCATATACTCATGTTTATATACCGTAGGAACAATAGCGTACAAAAGAAATCATTCGGGCATAAGACGAATATATGAATATACACCCCCCCCCCAATTAAGCTTCTAGCTACGGCCCTGACCTTCATATATGGTGCCTTGGTTTGATCATATGAATCTAGCTGACCCTAACAGAGTGATTGTCGTTCATTATTCCATACATGGTACCAATTTATCTAATCACGAATCGAAAGCAATCTCAAAAAACCTTCGAAGTTTCAAGAATAATTTTACATCCAGTCTGTGGACACAAATCGATTTAACTAGGAATGCGTGAGCCCAACTTTTTTCTGCCAGCATTTGAATTCCTGACCCAACCAATGGTATTTTTTCCGTTGTCAGTTCATGTCCACGACGAATCACTTGGTCAGGAAACCTCAAATCTTCTTGTCACGTTTCTCACATATTCTTCTATTGTTCTTGTAAATATAAAAGGTATTTTCCATCAAGTCAATCAATTGTGTTTTTCGGCCAGACACGATTTTTGATTTTGGTGTTTATTATAAAGTTATGTTTTCAAACTTGGTTTATCAATGGCTATTGTTTTAAAACACTATTTAGTTAAATTATTAGCAAAATTATGGTTTTATAACAACTGTCATCATCTCTTATCAACTCGCATCATCTCTCATCAATCTATAGGGGACAATGGTGCTAGCCACGCGAAGCTATGCTTTATCATTCTGACGTGTATCGCTGAGGTAAGTTAGTTGCATGACCAAACTATCTTCCAGCTATCTAGCCACCTCCTGCTTATTGTTTTAATAAAACTCTCCACACATCGGCGGAACGCCATCAAAGTTTTCTTTCAAAAGTCACCACCCTGCGATGGAGACGCTTCAAATTTCAAAGCCACACACGATAGTCGCACTGTCTTCTTTTGTTTCTAGGATCAATACGCGAACGCCTTTCTTCACGATACCAACATAACATTCTCTGTTCCGTTATACAAAGTGGTAGGTTTTGCTCTATCGTTAAAAAATACCATTAGAAGCGATACACCCACCCTTTTGCAAGCAATTGTTGAAAATAATCCGAGTAATGTAATCTCTCTGAAAGAACATGTTATTTTTTTATTCGACGATATTCTTTGCTGATGTTCTTAGCATATGCATCACAGAAGTGGATATGCCGATACAGCAAGTCCCTCGAGACCCTTGGCTTGTGCTTTATTAGGTAAGAGCTCCTTGAGGGTAAACATTCACTTAGGATGGATAAAATAATGTCTCTGTGGCTGGATTTCAGTTCAAAAATTGTGGGTATAAATAATTGGAGAAAGTGGCATGCATTGTGTCGTTTAAACGGTCTACTCCATCAGTTTAACATCTCAAAAACCATTTAGATTTGATGGTGGAATTCGTGGTTGGACACATGACCAAGAATTTACAAACTGACCTCTACAGGTAAGAAGGACTGGATGTTTATGGGTATTATCAATTTCCCGTGAAATGTTGTACAACAAGTCCCTAAAATGGACAAAACACTTCACGACATTTCCACCGTCGTGAGAAGAGTTGATGAGAGTTGATGTGGAGTCTATTTTAGGCAGTTGTTATACCACATTTTATTCGAAGTTGTTTGAGGAGGCTGCTACGCTGTTCCATCGTTATATTTACGGATATTGCGAGTTCCACTTTTGAAAGATGATACCACAGTGGTACCTTGTATCTGTAACTGCCCATATTCATACATCTTTCTAATACTCACATTTAGCAAAGCATTTGGGATAATTCAGCGAACGCTTTGCTACCAAAAAAGATGTCGCGTGAGGCTGTCATATTCCTGGAACAATCTATGGACGGCGCTGATGAATTTCTTGAAATTTATTTTAACTAACGAGACAGTCTTGCTCCCAAGAGTTAATATATTTCACCTCGCTGGCAAGGTATGCTGGTCTACCTCGTATATCTGCTTGCATCGAGCCCGTATTGTCCGGGTTACAACGTTTCTCTGGGTGCATTTTTACTCGATGCCTTAGTGAACTCTATGTAAACTGGAGCGATAAATCTCCGGGCATCTTTAAAACCAGTCTGAATCCATTTGAAGAACCAGTGCCAGTTTCCCGGTTGACAAATCGCGCTGGTTCTCAATTCGCCTGCAAATTGGCTTCTCCCAAATTATCGGTCCAGTAAAAATAGAGTTCCCTGCCATTCCCAGATTAAAAATCATTGTATGACAGTTGTTCTATGCCCCCAACAACAATGTTTTGAAGAAGGCTCATCAACTTATATAACTGTTGCTTTAGGTTGTGAGTGTATTTAATCTGTTCATTACCTACGGGGATACTTTCCTACCAAGTCCGACATGTTATGATGAACTGTACTACGAAATAATCAGAGTTCATCAAATCTTTGATAATCTTTATTCAATGGGTAAGAAAGAAACTGGTGAAGTAATATTAAAATATTTCAGTTTTAGATCTAAATAAAATTGCTTCCAATTCAGTGTCCTTAGGAAATAGGTATTAGGTGTGTCGAGTTAAACCTCTCAAGAATGTCTACGAAAGGCTCGCTAGAATATCCGAAACGACTTAGTACTTTCTAAGAATTACACAAGGACTCTGGTCTAATATAGGAGAATGGCTTTGTGTAGATTTCGCGCCTTAGTAATATATGCTTTGTCTCTTTATAGCCCTCCGTTATTCATCGTCTACTAATGGTAACGAAAACAAACATAGCAAACACTCCGCGAATACTCTCGCTGGAAGCTTAGTAAACATAAGGTAACAATTTCATAAGTTCTTCCTCTTTGTATGGTATAACCTTAACCCTTCATCAAATCACTATACGTATGGTGAAGATTAACGCATAGTTTGATATGGGAACGATGGATCAGTCATTACAGACCTTAGGGCGGTTTCCCACTAGGGAAATTTTTCTATCAAACGAAAATTTTCTTTCGCTTGATTTTTTTCAAGTCTTATCGGTCAATGGAATCCGCTGCAGTCGAATTCTTACAGTAAAAGAAAATTAGGCGAAAACTTCAGCCTAGGGGAAACTCAATGCAAAACTTCTATAGGTCTTCATTTATTGATATATTTTCAATGATCCAATGTAGCACCGAAGTGCATGCTTAAGGTCCCTATTTATTGATGTAAGACCATGATTTTTTTTCATGCGAATTCGTTTTAGGGCAATTATCAATCATTTTTCACCAAAGATTGATTCCTGGGCTGCTGTAAATCACCTGTCCTCCATGACCTCTGAACAGGTTCTACAAATTATCTTCTTTGATTATAGCTTCTATGTATCATAGTTCGATATTTAAATACATTTTAATGTTTCGAGGCATCGTCGAGTGTGTTCAAACACCTGACAATTTGATATGTTTTAAAACATAATTTATGGTCGACTTGCATGCTGTTTTGAGGAATTTATATTTTGTCGATATAAAATGATAATCCTATAGACAAGTCTTTTCATCTTTTTTTGTGATTTGTTCAAGGTATTGGATGTTATTCGTGGAAATTACGACACATTAACTCTCAAGCTTCAAGACAACCTGGATAATTACGAGAAATATGTTGAGAAACCCAAAGAATCATCGTTCTTCACCCAGTTGGTAAGTAACACGAAATTCAGTGTTATTGAGTTTTTCGCTATCAAAGCCTGATTTTATTGCCATCAAACTAGACTTTGCCATCTAGTCGGCTAGACTGCTGCACCCGAGATCGCAGGCTCATTGGGTTTAAATCTGGTCGTTTTAGGTCCGGGGTATAACCGCTGATGTAAGGGAAAGTATCGCAGTCACAAACCTCGAACAATTTTCGTTGCTACAAGAATTCTCTTCGATACGTTAGCGATGCTGACCGTAATAATGCGACTAAGCGAGAATGACGTAGGGATAGTGTATTGCGGGCTCAGGACGCAGGTTCGAAGACCCTTCCTAGTTGCTGACGTCACCAGTTTGAATCCGCAGCTGATGACTGGCCGGTGAACTCTATTTAGACTGGAACGATAAATGAGTGTTATTTCCCCTTATCCTTTGAAGCCAAAGTGACGATCAGTGCCAGTTGCCTTTTGGTTTTTATTGGCGCGATCTTCAACATCGATTGGCAGTCTGGCACTGGTCGTTCAATTCGGTTTCAAAAATTTTCGCCTGATTACCGTTCCAGTTTATGTAGATTTCACCGAGGGTTACACACTGAGCTATATATCTCAGTGATAATATCTTCGCTCAGGAATTATTAATATATAGCTCAGTGGACTGGCACAAAATGTTTAACAATTCAAAATGGCGACTGGCGAGATTTGTTTAGATTTTTAAAATTACAAGTTTTACGATTTGTTGATGAACAAAAACGCTTGATACTTTCATAAAAAAGTAATGTCATGATTTGCGAATAATGCAATCTTAGGAAGAAAGCGGCTAGTTCAGAAAGCTGTGGGGTAAACATAAGAGTTACGCTTTCTTGCGTCCTGTGGGAACTAAAATAAGCCTGGTTTTCGTATACGTCAATTATTTAATCTATAGTCATTGTCGGCGGTCATTAGTGTATAAAATGATTGTCAGTAGGAAAGCATTTTCCACTCGAGAATTCCCGGTGCGAAGCGATTGTTTGCTTCCGTCCTTCGTCTCTCCTTTGAAATCATGTGGAACTAATTGGATATTTACGAAAGCTGCGCTGTCAAACTTCACCGCGGATTAGACTGTCACGAGACCATATCTTTTGGTTTGAAATTGCAAAAAATCCTCAAGATTATACCTTACGTTAAAACGAAAATTCGCCGTAATAAAAGATGGCTGCATATCGATCTTAAAACAGTTTTTTTTTGCGAATTAAAATCAGCTATGAAAACAATATTTTAAATGTTTTTATGCGTCGTCAATTTAGTGATGGCGGATTTCTTTGATGACTTCGTCATCCACGTCATCCATTTTTGTCAACATTCAACAAAAGAAAATTCTCTCCAAGCAGAAAGACAGTGCCACAGCGACCTATGTTGAAATCAATGTTGACACAACATTGCTCTTTTGCTATGAGAAAAATTCGTATTTCAAGCCATAGGAAGCCCGAATTTGCACAATAATTTGAACCAGAGAAGTTATTTTCCGGCAATTTCTCAGTTAACTGAATATTTTATTTCTTCACAAACAACAAAATTACGTCAAACGGTGGTTAATCCAGACACAATTGATGTGAGTAAAGTGCATGTAAATCATTTTATTGCTACCGTAACCAACTTACGTTTGCAAAGAATCCTTTTTTTATCGACGTGCAGTTATTTTTTTATGATGGCGAATTGAGAAGGGACTACAGTCAGTTGAGACACATCAATCCTGTTTACGTGTCCACAAACGTCATTATGGCCTGTTTCAGACGTCGAACCTTTCATGCGCCGAACCTAATTTAAATGAGCTAAAGTGTTTGTTTAAGTTCATTTGCATTCGATTCGGCACATGAAAAGTTCGACATCTAACATCAAAATGAAACCAATCATTTCTATAACGAATTTATTTCATTTGAACCGACAATTAGGTTCAACACAAACGAGCCAGCCCGATTTACTGCAAGTTTTCAAACAGTAAGATCTACAATAATTCCGCCGGTTCATCAATGCGGTAGTCATATTTCTAAACAGATGGTTGCCTGTGAGGTCAAAAAAATTCTAAAATTGAAATGAATTAGCCTTTCTCGCGATGACGTTTTTGGGCACTTTCAATTTTCGTATTTTCGTAAATGGGTTTAAAAAATTATAACAACATAAAAAGCAATTTTTTTAGAATCAATAGACCATTTGAAGAATAAATTCAGCCTAAAATTAAAGACACTCGTCGTTACGTGGCCTTACGCTCACGGTTTTGAAAAAAAAAGTATCCCAAAAATGGCAGCATATTCGTCATCGTGAGAAAGGCCAATTCGATTCGGTCTGGTGGCCACTATCTATACTCATCCATCAAAACTGGTTTCCAGTCATGCGTTTCTCGTACGAAGGTTTCTTAATCAGAACCAGTTGTTCGAAAAGCGTTTAGCTTCGGGGCGATTAAGTTCAAAATGGAAAACAAAAATTTTATGCATAGTTGCAATCAAAATTATGCACAGTATCCAGTGTAGTATGTGATCAGTGTTTTATCTAGGTTTAAAAGGACGCATGACTGGAAATTTAGTGCGACCTCGATCGTTAGTTGAAATGGATAAGTCCGAATTTATATAATCTATTATAACTCAGTGTATTAGAGACACCAGGCCCATAGACGCGATACCAGCCACGAGGCATACCACTTGCTTCATAGATTCCCTGAAATATGAAAACATGCAATTATTTTGAGCCCAGGTTATGTCAAAGACTACAGTTCTCAAGATTGAGCCGTGAGCCCTTTCTACACTTTCCATCGATCTTTCGGCACGGTACAGCTAAAATGGGTACCTATACACCAATTTCTTACGTGCTCGGCCATTCTATTGGTGGTCTGGGGTCGGTTGTTGGAACTGTGGTGGATAAAGTTATCCACAGGATAGTGACTTTTTCAACTGTCGTAAAAAAGCTTTGAAAAACGATAAAGCTACTTATAATAAATGCCGAGTGGTGGGGATTTTCCTGGATAACTTTATCCAACTTTCGAATAACCGTTCCCTGAGAGTCTCGGACAGGATAAAATTGGGTCTTACGGGTATCAATATTAATAATCGTACTGGGCAAATAAATTGAGTCTAGTGTAAACGGGGTTATAGTTGCATGATTGTTGTTAAAATATCAATTAGACAGTTACTATAATATATGGTTTCTAAAACGGGTGTTTTTCAGTACATACCATGGTCGTTTCTCTTCCAACAACTCGGGGACAATGGTTACTAACGCAATATAAATAAAACCACCAGACGTGAAGGGAAGAACCCAACTTGCCGAATCACCTGTGTAAAAACACGCCAAAACATGTTAGTTTCCATTGCACAATACTGTGTTTCAAATGTCTATCCACACATTTCGTTGCGGAACCAAATCACTCCTGACGGATGTTTTTTTAGTCTGTTGTCTTGCAATGTATTGACCGCAACTCGACTGAAGCTAACTTGGTACATTGCGGTGATGATTAAACCAATCAACAGTCTCCATTCCATATGTCAGAAGTGAATCGGAACAGACAAAATTGGTGTATTCTCGCACCTTAGAGCAGATTTTACATATATTTGTAGTGTATGAAAGATTTCAAGACGGATGCGGAATACTTGCATGAAAGAGTGCGTTAACTTGCTTCCATTAAACAGGTCATGTATTTCAGTGTGATTTCAGTCATGACTGTCTCTTTGTAAACCGTAAACTCACATCCTCAACTATAAGCCCGGTTTTAGAGGCATGCTAAATATCTTCTAATTGATACATTTCTTTCGCAAACGGAAGCCGCGATATGCAGGGTTCCCTTATTTTCTCTGCGCGTTTATAGTTCGAGTTAAGATTCAACTTTTAAAGGTTCTGCATGGTTAGCTCTACTCGTGTTAAGAGAATGAAGCATTCAGGAAATATGGAAAAACATTCACAGGTGACAAAATACACAGAGGTAAAACCCACCAGCTTCGGTAAAGACCAGTCCAAAAATTGCTCCGACCATACCACCCGTAGCTGTGACGATCTAAAACAGTCAAAATCAAGAAATAAGCTCAGGGGTTGAGCCCAATATGAAATTAAGCACGATTTTAGCAATATAAAGCTCCGTGGTGGAAAATACATCACAGCAAGTCAACTATACCTGGCCTCTGGCTGCGTCCCATCGTCTAAAACCAGCTTTGAGCAAAATGGCAAAATCACCAATCTATATTGTTTGAAAAAGAGGAGGTATGTTTCACCATCTTATGATAAGTCGACTTGAGTAAAATTTCACTTTTTTGTACAGAATTAAGAGACAATTTGACCCTGATCATTTAAAAAATCTCTCCTAAGGGATCCTGCAAATACGAGGAACCTAACTTCTTTCTTGTCAAAGCGATTATAATGGTAGATATTTCTTTAACAATTCAGCCAGCCTCATCAGTCTGGCTAGAACTATGTCTATATAATTATGTATGTTAGTTAACTGATGACGATAAGACACTTAATAAATATTTCTCCTGCATGTTACCTCGTGAGGAATTTCGTGTAATAGAATTGCAAATGTTGTAAGAAGGCCGACCTAAAGAAAGAAATACAAAACTAAAACAAAACTAAAGCCAAGGTTAAAAGTTACTTAATCAAAACTAAAGCCAAGGTTAAAGTTTTGGCGGTAAAACTATAAAAGAGACTCGATTTAATGTATGCCTTGTCTTAGAATAACGACTTCCTAAAAACAGCTAAAAAATTAGCCAAACTTTTATCATCGTCACGATACCCGATAGTATAAGAAAATATGTTAGGTTTTGCAAATGGAAAATTTGCTGAACTGGAGTTTATATACATTTTTACTTTTAGTCGTATTTCGCTTTAACCTGCGACAATGTTTTAATACGAATATACTTTTTTTCATCGCTACCTTTCTGCTGACGAGAAAACTACCAGACACAGCGAGACCATGTGTGAAATTGTCGATGCAATTTGCAAGAAGGTTGAGATAGCCAACAACCTAGGTATATATATATGATATTTATTATTGTAACTATATACACAGCTAAGTCATATAAAATAATATACACAGCTAAGTCAATAAAGGTGCCGTACATAGTTTTAAACCATATAATTAAATCTCAAATTTTCAGGCTAAGTGCAAAGCCAAAAGGCTAACTTTTGCTAGTAATTCATGTTCGGAAAAAGAATCAAGGATTACAATGATATAATCTAAATTTTTATCCCAAACCTGACCCTTACCCAACTACTAACCCTAAAGTATTAGAATAAGGATTATACAGGAACAATTTCAGCCTGGGGGTAAATATCAGTAGGATCATGATACGTTGAAAAACAAGGGAAGTCTTTAGTCCAAACATTGTAATTGTGGTTTGGATAACATAGACCCCATGGTGAAACAATTACATCATTTACATGATAATTTTTTTTAGTCCTTGTCACAAGTAAGCCAGGAATCCTCCCCATTCCCCATGAAATAGAAGAAAGACCCCATGGCAACCCACCACAAGAGAAGACTACACAGTCATAGACTCATAGACTATACCTTGATCTCTTTTTCCTTTGAAGGAACATGACTATCTTTTTGTGAACACTCTTTGGTTTCATCAGAATTTTTATTTTCTGACTCTTTGTTCCTTTTTCTCACATTTGAATCTTCCTTGTGTTTGCTGTAGCCATTTCCAACATGACTTGAGCCATTACAGGCATTTTCAGTTTCTAAACTTGGCTTTAACATAAGTTTAAATCAAATTACACCCATTGCACTCTAGTACTTTAATCTGCTTCCAACCAAATGATTTAAAATACTTCTTAATAGCAAAGGAAAACTGTAAAATGGCTGAATACAAAGATAATATTTAATTTTCAACAAGAATGCCTTTTTCTAACCTCATGGCAAGCTCCATTTGACAAACCATTGCATTGAGTTGTTTCAGCTTCTGATTCTTCATCCATGAATATTTTCTCCAAAATGAGAAATGTTAAAATGCCTCCGAGAACCCAGAGACCAATTCGCATATAATCGTCATGTGCTGTTCGTAAAAAGTCAAATGATGAAAAATTAAGGGTAATTCTAGCTGCAAGGCCATTGTGCTAATTACATTTTCAGCAAAAATATGATATGAGAATGTTTGTGGTCTGATTTCATTTGTCTAAATAGGTATTAAACTATAATTATAATAATCATTACAAATGAGATTTGCAATGATTTTAATTTGATATGATTTGTGGAAGACAACTTTACCAGCAGTGGCTGGACCATATGCTTCTGGCAACAAGTGCAGAAAAACATCACCCAATAATCCACCAACAGCAAAACTCAACAAAAGCTTCAGTTTATCTGCGGACACTAAAAAGTATACAGTAAAGCTAGTACAATAGATCCATTATAATATTCTTGTACTTTTGCATGACAATATTTTGCATAACAATATAAGTAAATTAGCTTGTAGGTACACCACATAAGTATTTGCCCTAAAATCCTTTGCCAGCAGACAATTTCAAAAAGTATAAAATGAAAAATACTCATTAAACAGAGACATCTTGAAGACTCAAGATTTGCATTGTAAAAAAGACAAGATGCAATTATTTAATTGGTGATATTTCGAACTTATTTTAGAATTATTGAGTTGAAATATCACCAACTGAATGCGTATTGTCTTTCTTTTAATTGAAATCTTGAGTTTGCAAGATGTCTTTTATACATAAGTATTTCATACTACAAAGCTTTCGGTTTTAACTTAGGCCTTCATTAGCGCAACCACTTGTAAACACATTTGCATAATGCATATCGCATAAATATCACATTCATTGATTGTTAAATTTATATTAATTTCAATGCTGCAATATGTCTATGACAGGATCATATGAAATGTGATGGCAAGCTATGAGTTCATAGTATTTGAATCTTCTTTACAGCAGTAAACTATGAAACAGGCCAATATCAGCTTTAAATTTGCAAAGATTATTCCTTTTTTTAGCTATATAGCTAATATAGCTAAAGCATAATGATTTTTTTATGGTGAATAAGACCATCTGACTATGATTAATTGAGAACAACCTCTTGACTGGGGATTGAACAAGAAAAAATCAATTAATTAAAGCAACATAGCCTGGTTATTTAGTGTTTGTTTTATGACCTATTCCATGGTAAAAATATCCAGCAAAGTTGATACAATTTCATTGAGAAAGAATTAAATTACAATCCTCACTGTTCATAAAATGTTGAGCCAATATAGCTATATTCAGGAAACTAATAAAAGTGTACATTACAGAGGATATATGCACATGTTTCATGCAAAATGTTTCACATTTCTTGATGCCTAGTAAAAATGTTGACCCTATTTAGCCTGTCTCGGCATAACAGCTTATATTCTCTCTGGGAGATGGTTAATGTTAAATTCAGATGGGAAAATCGTAATGCCTTTCTCCTCAGAACATGTAATCTCACACCACACTTTCCCTAAGCTTATAGATGCTAATATACACTCTTGAAACAAAGAGTTTCATAAGGTTGACACATATCAGATCAGACCAAGTCAAGGGTCCTTTATATGCAAATCATTCAATATCCCATGTATGTACGTGTGTGTTTAATATCATATATTCAAATTTTATTATGCACAGCTGGATTTATTCAACTGGATTATATGTAACATATTGGCTAGCCAGTGGTTCATTTCGATCCATTTCGAGGGTTCTAAATTGATAACATTCATAGTTTAGAGACACCTCACACCTGGGCAATATCACAACAGCCAATCATGTGTAAACTAGTCTGAGATGAATTCTTTATCAATAGAAATTGTGGTTATAGAAACAGGAAATAAGGAAATAACTGTAAAATATCTCATTGCTAAAGGAATATGTAAAACAGTAAGAGGGGAAATAATGAGCTTGAAAGTACATGATTTCAATTTGAAATTTTGAATGCGTACCTTTTAGGTAGCCGCATAAAAAAATCACGTTTTTTAATTGAATAAACTTTATATGTTATATACAAAATGTCCTTCACAAAACAAATTTCATCTGAAAATTAGGTTTAAATTTTGTAGTCTGAAATACGTAGGATAATGTGATCTAAATCACCACAAATTAGAAATCGCGACAGCCCAAGGGCTTTAAAACGAGATGAATTAATATTTCCAGCAGGAAACATGATTTGAAACATGCAGTAGGGGATATTAAACTGATTGTTCACTTGTATGAACGTCCACATGCTACTGTAAACACGCTAGGAAGATTAAAATCAGCGCTCTAAATTGCGTATTACATTAAAATATTGGCTGCTCCATAACTTTAAATCGATGTGCTACGGCGATGCGTTATTTAACTAAAAATGTCCAGGAATACAAACGCGTTTTTGCCTGAATATGACACAAAATAAACTGATGTTGCAAAATACAAAATGTCTAAATTAGAACAACAATATTAACCTAGTCTTAATGACAATGTACTAGGATTGTTTTGAATATGCTTTCTGACACATTTATGGACCGAAATAGCGCATTACCGATGCAAAAGTGACAAATCAGTCCGTTTAAAACGTCGACGACAAAAGATCAACTCACAAGAGGGCTATTAATTTACTTCAAATAGGATTCGATTGAAAAGCAACCGATGTCCCATTACCTCCTTCCCTGAGCTTGTGTCCTTCTTCTACAGGGAACACCAACAAAGGGAATATACCCGTGAGACCAACTAACAATGTCCCGATAATCGCATAAAACCAAGGATTGTAATCGCTCGATAGATCGCGAGAGATTTCTTCGTTGAAAGCACCATTTGAATACGATGCTGGTCGTGGTACTGCACGATGAATCTTTCCAGCGCTTTCGACTATACGAAGGTGAAAAGCGATCAAGAGACCGATCGTAATCGCACAAGCGAGGCGTTTTATAAACGCCATGAATGCGATTTAAAAAGGCCGTGTTTGCTTGAACAAGTGGCTAAATAAGACTACATAATGATCGTCATATAAGAACTTGTAATAAACATAAATTGATTATAATGATTGTTGTGTTTTGACGCGGCACGCATGCGTCGTCGCGATTAGTGCTTATCTCGACATCCGGAATCAAGCCGTTTTTCGACAAAAGAATATTTTCATTCCCTGTTAAGCTTCTCGTAATTACAAAAATAATTGAATATTTCCAATAATTTCTCGGGCGATATCCTATCTTTGAAATCTAGGTTAAATTAAAAAACACTGCATGGCTTTCTCAATGCCTTTCATGGCTTTCGCCGTAAAGTGCCAGTAAGTCAAACACATTGAAGCCAGGAAGAAGTAAAAAGTATAAAATTTTTAAAAGACAAACAAAAAACAAGGAAAAAACACGAAAATATCTCAGAAAAAGGAAGTGTAACAATTTCACGTTGTTTTTTATTGTTGTTGAACTGTTTTGTGGTTCTTACATGAAGTTACGGGACAAGCGAGAAGGGAAATCCAAAATGGCTGTCGTTTTGTGCCGAAAATGCTTCAGACGAGTACCTGGTTTATTCAAGATCGCTGGCAAACCTGGGTATGTCAACAGTCGGTTTAGTTAGTCCATAATCCTGCCTGATTGTTTCAAAGAACAAGTTTTCATTGCACCAAAATATATGGCCAGAAAAAGCTAAAAATTTGAAATGAAGGCCAGTTCCAGACTTCCAGTCAGACTCAGACTATAAAGACGCTCAGTTATATTCAGAGCATTCACACGCTTCAGACCATTTATATAATTCTTTAATTTTTCCAGGTATAATTGTTTGATTAGTCAGTCTGCTCAAGAAGAAGCTGACCACTTTGGTACTGTAACTGTGAATTTTTAATATTAAAGTGTATTGAAGTGTATTTAAGCTATATCAAGTTTCAAAAGAAACTTTTACCAGGAATATTTTTTTTTGATTGATTAATGATATAGATCCATCCACAGAATATTCACCAGAACTGAAAGAGTGAGTATAGTTAGTTCAATTGTGGAAAATCTTTGGTGTGGCAACTGGCGCGGCCACAATCACGCTGAGGCATTCCTCGTCCACTTGCACCACTGATGAGTAACATCATCTGGCATTAGAGTAAATTAGGGACACATTGAAACTGATAGATCAATTCTCAGTGCACATTGCTAGCGTGTAAAATTTGCTGGACTTTTATTCAAATATATTTATTTTTAGAGAGAAACTTAAAGTACTCAAGGCCTTAGCATCCACTATTAAATATGTATGTATAAGTCAGCTTGACCTGGTATTCTTCTATAGTAATATTTATAAAAGTAGCCTCCAGATTCCACATCTACGACTCAGAAAAGTGCTTTTTTGATGATACAGAATAATGATATATGTTTGTGTCTCTAATCAGGTACCAAATGCTCCAATCCATGGATTCTTTGAAGATCCGTTTCTGATGCCCAGAAGCAGTATTCGTAAGGTAACATTGGGATCTTCCTAATGGGTCTATTTAACAATTAAGTTTTAATCAAATGTTCATTTCTGATGTAGAACGAATTTGCCAAGGCAAGAGAGGAGGGAAAGAAAGCTGCAGAATATATCATCAAAACATATCCTCATCTTTTTCCTCTGAGAAAACCTGAACCTGTAAGTTTTGGGCTGAACTCTGATAACTAGATTAAGGAACGTTTAGAATAGGAATGATATAAGAATTTTAAAAATAGGGTTTCACTTTGGTTTCAAAATATTAAATTCTTATTTCAGGCATGGCCAAAGGAATTATCTTTAGATGTGAAAGGCAATGATGAAAGAACCCTTCAAGGTTAGAATTGTTGTGGAAATCATCCGATAAATCGTCTTAAATTTAGCACTTTTACCAAGTTTGGTTTGGGAATGATGAAAAATGTGGAAAATATAGTCCAGTAAAGAATGCAGGCATCAAAAGACTACCTGGTAGATCAACTTACAATGGTCCTTGAAATCTTAAAACAGCCTTTTAAATTCTGTTTAGATCTCATAGCATTGAAACAAATTGAGAAGGCCATTCGTTTATATGAACAACTTGTTGCAAAAGGTAAGCCATTTGATATTCAATTTAATGTCCAACCCCTCCTATCGATACGTTTTTCCAAGGATGACCCCCCAAAAATTGTATGAACAACTTGGTTGAAAAACCCTGGGTACAAAGTTGATGTTTGACATTTTTGTATATCATTTTCAGGGGAATCAGTTTCCCTTGATTGTGAAAACAGCCTCTTGGAGCTGACTGGATATTACGGGTTCCAGCGGTCTGACGCTGACAGCAAATCGGTAAGCTTCTTTCAATCAAAGGAAAGAATTATTCACATCCCATCTTAGCAAGATCCCTTTTAAGAACCAGCAAGTAAAGTCTTTGAAGGCACAAAAGTTTTTCTCAACTGTTAATAATAAACTTAAGATATCTTTAGTAAAAATGGTGGAAAGGATTTTTTTTACTAGAACTGTTTGATTTTTTAGTCAAAGGACTCACCCTACAATGAGACTATCGAAAGACAGAAGTGGAGGTATTTTATTGAAGTTATGTAATATATTTTATAGTATTTATAAAATTATTTACAAAATATTAAAATTTGAGTGGTAATATTTAGTAGAAACCTTTAACTATTTATTCAAGATCTATCAAAATGGATATAAGATGCCCCTATATTGTAGTCTGTCTGATATCCACATGCTGTTCTGCATCAAACAACTTGCTTAATAAACTCAAATTTTCTCTCGACAGTTCAAAAAACTTTGCACATCAGTTGTTTAAACGAATGTCGAACAAAAATGGCAGAAGTTACGAGGCTATGATCTTATCCTTGCTGAAGGTTGGTGCTTTCTTCAACCGTGAATTTCGAGACTATATTCAAAGCAATTCAGATTTTGTAGCACTTAACTCGATGTAGAATAATTTCCAAGGGTTAAAGGGTCTTAAATTCGTGTGAAAGTCATACAAATCTCAAATTCAAGCGAGGAAAAGTTGAGAAAATGTATCAACTATCGGTCCTCCGGCAGGAATCGAACCTACGCTCTTTATGGCAGTCAACAAGAGCAACAGCGTTATTCAATTCTCCTGTACCTCCGTAATACTTGGTTGAAGCCAAAACTTGAAGCAAAAAGTCCCAAAACTGAGTTTTTGACTCTGTTTCTCGATCAATTTCATAAAATATTACATTACTTCGCTTGTCAAGTTTGGCGGGAAAATTCCCGTATTTCTATACAGTTAAAGAAACACGTTTCTCGACCAATCAGCACGCGCGTACTATAAATGTTATAATATAATCTATATCAGTGAATCTATATTCGATGCATTTGCCCTCATGCACTGTCAGTGTGAAATTAAATTGAATTGTTTTTCAATTTTGTTTAGTTTCAAAGCAAAAAGCTCGCATTGGAAATATTTGATGAAATGAAAGAGAAAGGTTTTAAAGGTAAAATCACCACGAATTAAACAATGTCAGGAAAACATTGAATAAAAACAAAGAATTCGTAGAGTTTCATCACGCATGGGTATATATCTATATATTCTTTGCTCTAGGGAGCGTGTTTTTGTACAACCGATTGATAGAGAGTTCTGAGCAGCTTTGCTCGGACGAAACTGATCCGTGGACATTTTCCCAGGTAGGAACAATTCCCGTAGATGCGAAATCTTGCTCTGGGGAATTTCGCTTTACTATCGTTGTTCCTGATCTTTTCTATTTCAGGACATCGTGAAACATCTGAATTCTGAACCGGCAGTTAGACCAAATTTAGGTAGGCAAATTATTTTGAAACAGCGACAGAATTAAATTGCGTATGTTAATCCAATGAGATTTAGAGTCTGGATTCCGGATTCTGGTTTAAGATAAATCGGGATCCGGATTTACTCGAATCCAGATATCGAGATTTACTATAGCAGGCAATCCGGGATCATCAAACAAACACCGTCTCGGATTAATTCGTTCAGAGCGAAATCTCACATTTGCAGGAACAAGAATTAGATGATTAACTATGATCTTTTTGGGCTATGCATAATATAGTTCTTCAATTTGATAACTTTCAAATCATCTTCATCGTTTTTTCCCCAGGTACATTCACTAGCTTGTTGAAGATATGCGCAGTCCATTCTCCCAGTGCGTACGAAGATTCAACGAAAATATTGAGAGAGATGTATAGCCTTGGAATAGGTACGTGTCGGGTATTGGTTCAACAAAGAATTTCCAATAAACAAGACATCTTGGTAAAACAATATATGACTCATACGAGACATTAGTTTTGACTATAGAATACATGTTTTGGAATTTATTTTTTGCTAAACCTATTATTGTCGGTTATTCGAGGTTTTTGAACATTGTGTGTGGGTATTTAACAATGAAATAGACATTAATCCTTCGCTATGTGATGTTCTTAGAGCCGTCTTTGGGATGTTACACTCACCTTCTTGAAGCAGCAGAAAGAAATGGTAAGTTTATACACAAATTTAGTCTGGATTTCAATTTCATTCAGATCCCTCTCTATCATGTTTAAGCCCTTCCAAGAGAACCAACGAAACGTGTCTTTTCAGGTCTGCTTCAAAAGTGTTGTTTTCATTTAGGCAAGGGTCATGCAGCCGTCAATAATATCGTCCGTCATTTGAAATCGCTGGATCACCAATTTACTCCCGAAAATACCGCTGACTGTGAGTACACTTGAGTATCCTATGACATGTAGTCTTTGAGGCGTTGGAAGGGGGGGGGGTAGGGTATGCGTACCCCCAAAACAGATAGCACCCACAACGTCTTAACTTCATGTTAGCCTCATGTATGCCTACCGGATTCGTTATTCTGTATTTCTTTGATTGCTGTCTCAAATACAATACCAGACGCATTGAAACAAGAAATAAATTAAAAACCGTACCTGGTCCAGGTTCACAACAAATACGTCTCATCGAGTTGATAGTTCAGCTTAAAATGTAGGTCAGAGTGTTGGAAAAAGAACAGCGGATTCCGTAATCACTTTCGTTATACTCTAGCGCGCAACGTGATGATTTCAAACAGCAAGGAGCTTGGATTTCAATCAAACTAAAAACAGTCAAAACTTATACGTACTCCAAAAACAGATAGCACCCACAACGTCTACTAAAATCTCATTATCAAGTTAAGGATTACATGTTTGGGACTGGACTTGACATTTGATGTTTTGAAAGACCACGTTCGTGAAATATCAGCAGGGGTTGTGCTACCGCTCTTCAAAAGTCAATTTTAACGAGTGTTTTGGAGGAGTTTTTAAGAGGGTCTCAAGTAGTAATTTGGGATATATTTCAGATATATTTCTTTAGACATATTATATTGATTACCAAAGCGCTTCTTGAAATTCCTGGTAAAGCATGATACTCGTTTACGGTGATTTGCGATTTACGAATATCCAACTTCGGCATTGAAACATCGGAGCATTTGTCACATCTATCAAACGACAAAAACGACACCGGAATTTTTCAAATTTCAAAGGAAATGTAATGCTATATATTTTGTTCTTGTTTAGACGATTTCTTTGTAACGGCCATGGCGACGGTAAGTGTTATTTGCAACGTGGTCAGTGAACTCTATACAACAGTTTGTTTACAGTTCAATGTTTGCAACACAAGGCCAGGGTCAAACTCGTTTCATCGTATTTTCAAAAATATAGATCCCTGTTTATTTTTTTTCAGGCCAGACATTTCCGAGACGGTGTGACGGCAATGGAGCTCTTTCAACTGTCCGAAACAAGCCATTTCAAACAATTCCTCGGACCCAGATCTCTCTCATTCTAGTAGGTCGGCATGCACGTAGATTTAAGATGAAGTCAAGAAACATATATACAGCTCTATTTTCTCTTCTCTTCAGTCCTTGTGGCCACCAGTGGGGCATATTGCAGCCGCCTCTATTTTGGAGCATACAAATCCCTATCATATTTGTTATCATGATATTATCTGGCAAAAACTAGGTTTTTAACTAATGTCAAATGATTATTGCGATAAATGTCTAGACGGCGTTAACACTTGCAATTTTTGTTGCGATGTTATGTACGTGCGATTTTCTTCTTTTGATAGATATGAACGAGTGAATTAGTTACTGATGTAAAAAAAAGAGCTCTTACACATCAGAGCATTCGTAACTAATCTCTCATTCACATCAATCAAAAGAGGAAAATCACACATAAGATTGTAAACGGGCCTTAAGAGTTAAAAGACATTTTTTTATTTTCATTAGTGGTAATCTTTTGTGCTCACTTGCCCTCTCTGAACACGCCAGTAAAGTTATGAACGCCTATCAACAGTTAGTACCAAAGGTAATTCACAACAAGTCGCAACAGTTCAGTATCCATATTATTTATGTTACGGCTGGTTTTCTCTCAACCCGGCCAAGACCTGCTCCAAGTGGATTTTGGATTTTTGCGGAGATCAGTTCGTCGTTCTCCGTCCCATCCACTGAGCTATAATTAAATTACTGGAGGACGTGCTCGTCATTTTTCGGTAATTTTGCCGCAATCTTTTTGCGGACATTGTTTGGTCGAGAGCAAATCTTCTAGAAACTTTTAAAATATAGCTCAATGGTGGTCCGATCCCAAGCATTTACTGATCTCATACACTCACTGGATAGATCTGTCTATGGCTTGAAGCTATAAGCTTGAAGATAATTTTCCATGATTAAAAAGTATAAGAAATTTGAAATTGAACATTCCTATACTATGTCTGTAGGTGCTTCCAGAATTTGGCTATACCCTTCTGATGGTTGCCTGCCTCGTTCTGAAGCTGTTGTTCTTTGTGACCCGAAAGCGAAGTAATGTTGAAAAGGTGTTTTGAACTGTGTTTCGTTTTTTAGTACTTTGTGCCTCGAGAGTGGATATACGTGGAACTGTTACGTTGCCTTGAAAAAAGCAAGCAACCTCAAACAGCTATAGAATTATACAACGGTATGTTTTCCTGGTGCCGTTTCTGTTGGGAAAAACCCTGGTCCGAATTACTATACGAGATGCCGGCAATGAAAATATCCTTTGTCAAATTCCTCCCAAGTCGATCTTAGGCTACGACGTCATCATGTAGTGCCTCGACTTGACAACTGAGTAGTCATGCGCCTGCAGTCATCTGTCTCCGTTTTTTCAACTAAGGGTATTAATTACTTTATATAATGTTTATTTCTCTTCAGATATGAAGCAGTATCGAGTGAATATGACCGTGCACACGTGTCGAAGTTTTGTCTCTTGTTTCAGCGTCAAACTTGCAAAGAAGGTAAGCATTTAAACGTATGACTTAAAGTGTCGTACAACTACCAAATTAAACGCACGTAAATGCTTAAAATGTTCTATGTTATATTGTTATATAATTGCTGTGTATTTTAAATGTGATTGGTTCATTCGTAGTCACATGACTTTAAATAAATGCAATGTTTCCCGCCAGGGAAACAAGTGAGAAATTGTTGCCCGCAAATTGTCATAACAAAGTTTTTTGAAATGAAATTGTCGTGTAACATGTATGTTTTTGTTCCTATATAACAAAACACTTAATGTTCGCTACACCTCGGGAAATAGTGAGTTTTGTTTTCCCTCGAGTCTCAATGTTTCCCTCGACTTTCTCTCGGGAAACATTCAGACTCTTGGGAAAACAAAACTCACTATTTCCCTCGGGAGCATACATTAAGTGTATAATATTCTTGTATGTTTACATAGTCACATCAAATACGTCAATTAGCCTGAAGTATTGAATACTTACGTGGTGTACCTACAAGCTAATTTACTTACTGTATGTTCCAAGTTGTTGTAAATTTAATTTTATGCTAAGATAAACACATCAAATCATGAACTTCTAGAATCCAACCCTATGCAAATATTCAATCGTTGATTTCATAACTATCATTTAAATTATTTGCAACTTTTACGTCCGTATACGGACGTTAGACTCGTTCAACTATCCGTTGTACCAGCTAATATATAGAGATCGGTGGCCAAGTAAGGCTTCATTATACTCTAGCGCGCAAAAGCCTCCGCAGAAGATTTCAAACAGCCAGGAACTTGGATTTTAAAAACGGTCAAAAATTATTCTCTTGTCTCGATTATTTTCGTTTGACAAAAGTCAAGACATCTGTACATCATTGTTAACACTTTGTGTAAATACTGAGGGATATAACTCGCCCAAAATCGAGTATTCAGAAGTTAGGATTTGACGTCGCTTGGATTGTTCAGAGTGAGGCTGAGGCAATGAGCAGCTTGAATCCTGCAAGAAGAGAAAGAACACACAAACTTCATGAATGTGATGTTTGTAAGAAGAGATTTTCACGTGGTAGTAGTTTGGTTAGACATCAAAGAACTCACACTGGAGAGAAACCTTATGAATGTGATGTTTGTAAGACAAGATTTTCACAGGGTAGTCATTTGGTTAGACATCAAAGAACACATACAGGAGAGAAACCTTATGAATGTGATGTTTGTAAGACAAGATTTTCACAGGGTAGTCATTTCGTTAGTCATAAAAAAACACACACAGGAGAGAAACCTTATGAATGTGATGTTTGTAAGAAGAGATTTTCACATGGTAGTAGTTTGGTTACACATCAAAGAACACATACTGGAGAGAAACCTTATGAATGTGATGTTTGTAAGCAGAGATTTTCACATCGTAGTAGTTTGGTCAGTCATCAAAAAACACACACTGGGGAGAAACCTTATGAATGTGATGTTTGTAATAAGAGATTTTCACGTGGTAGTGATTTGGTTAGTCATCAAAGAATACACACTGGAGAGAAACCTTATGAATGTGATGTTTGTAATAAGAGATTTTCACAGGGTAGTGATTTGGTTAGTCATCAAAGAACACACATTGGAGAGAAACCTTATGAATGTGATGTTTGTAAGAAGAAATTTTCACAGGGTAGCAATTTGGTTAGACATCAAAGAACACACAGAGGAGAGAAACCTTATGAATGTGATGTTTGTAAGAAGAAATTTTCACAGGGTAGCAATTTGGTTAGTCATCAAAGAACTCACACTGGAGAGAAACCTTATGAATGTGATGTTTGTAAGAAGAGATTTTCACAGGGTAGTCATTTGTTTAATCATCAAAGAACACACATAAGAGAGAAATCCTAGGAACATAATGTGTGTTCAAACAAGGAACATAGATTAGAAATTTGGATGTTTGAAAGCTGAGATTCTCCAAATAGCACAACCTAAAAAACATAAAAAATCCATTTAATTTGTGAATCTTGTCATGAGTGAAATCATGCAAAGAGCAATAACCTTACCTGCATGAATTCACTTTGAAACATTAACAACTATCAACATAAAGTTAGCTTTAGCAATGGTTTTGTTGATATATTTTTGCTCCTATGACAGGATTAAGTAGAAGCATCAGAACAGTTTTTTTAAGTTACCTTAAGGTGGCTCCCTGCAGTTTCTTGAATTTTGTCAAATGCACATTTTAAACAAAGATATATGAATCATCCAAATGTTTGCCTAAAAGACTACAATTGAATGTGTCTTTCAGGAAACAAACCAAGAGTTAATGGCAATCCCTGCTACCCAAAATCCCACTTTACAAAAACTTTTGAATCAATGTTACAACGCATCTTCAAAGTTAATTTTATAAAAAATAGGGGTCACAAGATTCATTTGTGATAGAAACATGAATAAACTATTAAACTGTATTTAACAGCCACTGATGAAACATTTTTTGATGTATTTTCTGATAGATTAAATAAATTTTAGTCATTTGACAAAAATATGCCTAATATCACATATTCTATGTGCATTTAACAATTTCAAGAACCTGAAGGGAGCCACCTTAAGCTCTTTTTTGTACATAAAATATTATATTTTTTGATATTTTAAGTTATGGTTGACATTTCAGAACATAATGTTAAGTTGTAAGTTTTGTTGTACATTTGTCTTTGAATTATAAAAGTACAAGCATTCTAACTAGAAAGCAATGAGCTCCACACAGGTTGCCGCGGGGTCAGCTTGGCGCGCACTGCCCAATAGACTTCTCTTATAATGATGACCAAACGCGGAAAGCCTGATGTTTGATTGGCTACGCAAAACTAACGAGAGCCAATCAAACTTCGTTTTAGCCGTATTTCTTTGATTGTCTCAAATACAATACCAGACGCAATGACACAAGAAATAAATTGAAAACCGTACCTGGTATTAACTGTTGTTTACCAATAAATGCGTTAATCCGTCGAGTTGATAGTCCAGCGTATAAAATAGGTCAGTGTTGGAAAAAACAGCGGATTCTGTAATCACTTTCGTTATACTCTAGCGGCGCAACGTGAAGAAGATTTCAAACAGGAAAGAACTTGGATTTTAATCAAACTAAAAACAGTCAAAACTTATTTTCTTGTCTCGATTATTTTTGTTTCACGAAAGCCAAGACATCTCTACATACGTATTAACACTTTGTGTAAATACTGAGGGATATAACTCATCCAAAATCTAGTATTCAGATTTCAGAAGTTAGGATTTGACGTCGCTTGTATTGTTCAGAGTGAGGCTGAGGCAATGAGCAGCTTGAATCCTGAAAGAAGAGAAAGAACACACAAACTTCATGAATGTAATGTTTGTAAGAAGAGATTTTCATTTGGTAGTCAATTAGTTAGACATCAAAGAACACACACTGGAGAGAAACCTTATGAATGTGATGTTTGTAAGAGGCAATTTACACTGAAAGGTAATTTGGTTAGTCATCAAAGAACACACACTGGAGAGAAACCTTATGAATGTGATGTTTGTAATAAGAGATTTTCTCATGGTAGTTATTTGGTTAGTCATCAAAGAACGCATACTGGAGAGAAACCTTATGAATGTGATGTTTGTAAGAAGAGATTTTCATGTGGTAGTAATTTGATTAGTCATCAAAGAACACACACGGGAGAGAAACCTTATGAATGTGATGTTTGTAAGACAAGATTTTCACAGGGCAGTCATTTAATCAATCATCAAAAAACACACACTGGAGAGAAACCTTATGAATGTGATGTTTGTAAGAAGAGATTTTCACACGGTAGTAATTTGCTTACACATCAAAGAACACACACTGGAGAGAAACCTTATGAATGTTATGTTTGTAAGAAGAGATTTTCACATGGTAGTAGTTTTAATAGTCATCAAAGAACACACACTGGAGAGAAACCTTATGAATGTGATGTTTGTGAAAAGAGATTTTCACGGGGTAGTCATTTGGTTAGTCATCAAAGAACACACACTGGAGAGAAACCTTATGAATGTGATGTTTGTAAGAAGAGATTTTCACAGGGTAGCACTTTGGTTAGACATCAAAGAACACACACTAGAGAGAAACCTTATGAATGTGATGTTTGTAAGAAGAGATTTTCACGGGGTAGTCATTTAGTTAGTCATCAAAGAACCCACATAAGAGAGAAATCCTAGGAACATAATGTGTGTTCAAATAAGGAAAATAGATTAGGAATTTGGATGTTTGAAAGCTGAGATTCTCCAAATAGCACAACCTAAAAAGCATAAAAAATCCATTTAATTTGTGAATCTTGTCATGAGTGAAATCCAAGAGCAATAACCTTACCAGTATGCATTCACTTTGAAACATTTTTGCTGAGCAATATGGTAGCATTAACAACTATCAACATAAAATTAGCTTTAGCAATGGTTTTTTTGATATATTTTTGCTCCTATGACAGGATTAAGTAGAAGCATCCGAACAGTTTTTTTAAGTTACCTTAAGGTGGCTCCCTGCAGTTTCTTGAATTTGTCAAATGCACATTTTAAACAAAGATATATGAATCATCCAAATGTTTGCCTAAAAGACTACAATTGAATGTGTCTTTCAGGAAACAAACCAAGAGCCAATGACAATCCCAGCCCAAACGCGGAAATCCTGATGTTTGATTGGCCACGCAAAACTAATGAGAGCCAATCAAACTTCGTGTTAGCCTCATGTATGCCTACTTGATGCGTTATCCTGTATTTCGTTGATTGGTGTCTTAATACAATACCAGACGCATTGACACATGAAATAAATTGAAAACCGTACTTGGTATAAACTGTAGTCTACCAACAAATGCGTTAAATCCGTCCAGTTGATAGTCCAGTGTGAAATATAGGTCAGTGTTGGAAAAAAACAGCGGATTCCGTAATCACTTTCATTATACTCTAGCGCGCAACGTGAAGAGGATTTCAAACAGAAAAAAATTTGGATTTTTAATCAAACTAAAAAAAGTCAAAACTTATTTTCTTCTCTCGATTATTTCTGTTTGAAGAAAGCCAAAACATCTCTAGATAAGTATTAACACTTTGTGTAAATACTGAGGGATAAAACTCGTCCAAAATCTAGTATTCAGAACTTAGGATTTGACGTCGCTTGAATTATGCAGAGTGAGACTGAGGCAATGAGCAGCTTGAATCCTGCAAGAAGAGAAAGAACACACAAACTTCATGAATGTGATGTTTGTAAAGAGAAATTTTCATATGGGAGTGAATTAGTTATACATCAAAGAACACACACTGGAGAGAAACCTTATGAATGTGAGGTTTGTAAGAAGAGATTTTCACAGGATAGTAATTTAATTACACATCAAAGAACACACACAGGAGAGAAACCTTATGAATGTGATGTTTGTAAGAAGAGATTTTCACTGGGTAGTAATTTGGTTAGACATCAAAGAGCACACACAGGAGAGAAACCTTATGAATGTGATGTTTGTAAGAAGAGATTTTCACTGGGTAGTCATTTGGTTAGTCATCAAAGAACACATACTGGAGAGAAACCTTATGAATGTGATATTTGTAAGAAGAGGTTTTCACAGGATATTAATTTGGTTACACATCAAAGAACACACACAGGAGAGAAACCTTACGAATGTGATGTTTGTGAGAAGAGATTTTCACATGGTAGTCATTTGGTTAGACATCAAAGAACACACACTGAAGAGTAACCTTATGAATGTGATGTTTGTATAAAGAGATTTTCACATGGTAGTGATTGGTTAACACATCGAAGAACACACTGGAGAGAGACCGTATGAATGTGATGTTTGTAAGAAGAGATTTTCACGTGGTAGTGATTTAGTTAGTCATCAAAGAACACACATAAGAGAGAAATCCTAGGAACATAATGTGTGTTCAAATAATTTGGATGTTTGAAAGCTGAGATTCTCCAAATAGCACAACCTAAAACGTATGAAAAATAGATTTAATATGTGAATCTTCTCATGAGTGAAATCAAAGAGCAATTACCTTACCAGCATGAATTCACTTTGAAACATTTTTGCTGAGCAATATGGTAGCATTAACAACTATCAACATTAAGTTATTTGTTCCTGAATTTGTCAAATGCAAATTTTAAACAGAGATATATGAATCAACCAAATGTTTGCCTAAAAGACTAGACTTCAATTTGTCTTTCAGGAATAAAAACAAAGACCCAATGACAATCCTAGTTACTGAAAATCCCACTTTACAAAAACTTTTGAATCTATGTTACAAAGCATCTTGTTACAAAGTTAATTTTATAAAAATTAGGGGTCACAAGACTTATTTGTCATAGAAACATGAATAAACTTTTAAACTATATTTAACAGCCACTGATGAAACATTTTTTTATGTATGTTCTGATAGATGAATTAAATTTTAGTCATTTGTCAAAAATATGCTTAACACCACATATTCAATGTGCATTTAACAATTTCAAGAACCTGAAGGAAGCCACCTTAAGCTCTTCTTTGTACATAAAATATTATATTTTTTGATATTGTAAGTTATGGTTGACATTTCAGAACATAATGTTAAGTTGTAAGTTTTTGTTGTATATTTGTCTTTGAATTATAAAAGTACAAGCATTCTAACTAGAAAGCAATGAGCTCCACACAGGTTGCCGCGGGGTCAGCTTGGCGCGCACTGCCCAATAGACTTTTCTTATAAATTATAAAGATGTCAACGCTGAAAGCCTGATGTTAACTAAAGTTTGATTGGCTACGCAAAACTAACGAGAGCCAATCAAACTTCGTGTTATCCTCATGTATGCCTACTTGATGCGTTATTCTGTTTTCTTTGATTGGTGTTTCAAATACAATACCAGACGCATTTGCACCAGAAATAAATTGAAAACCGTACTTGGTGTTAACTGTGGTTTACCAATAAATGCGTTAATCGGTCGAGTTGATAGTCCAGCGTAAAAATATAGGTCAGAGTGTTGAAAAAACAGCGGATTCTGTAATCACTTTCGTTATACTCTAGCGGCGCAACGTGAAGATTTCAATTTTCAAACAGCAAGGAGCTTGGATTTTAATCAAACTAAAAAAAGTCAAAACTTATTCTATTGTCTCGGTTATTTTTGTTTGATGAAAGCTAAAACATCTCTACATACGTATTAACACTTTGTGTAAATACTGAGGGATATAACTCGTCCAAAATCGGGTATTTAGAAGTTAGGATTTGACGTCGCTTGGATTGTTCAGAGTGAGGCTGAGGCAATGAGCAGCTTGAATCCTGCAAGAAGAGAAAGAACACACAAACTTCATGAATGTGATGTTTGTAAGAAAAAATTTTCATATGGTAGTCATTTGGTTTTACATCAAAGAACACACACTGGAGAGAAACCTTATGAATGTGATGTTTGTAAGAAGAGATTTTCATTAAAAGGTAATTTGGTTACACATCAAAAAACACACACTGGAGAGAAACCTTATGAATGTGATGTTTGTAAGAAGAGATTTTCACAAGGTAGTAATTTGGTTACACATCAAAAAACACACACTGGAGAGAAACCTTATGAATGTGATGTTTGTAAGAAGAGATTTTCACTGGGTAGTAATTTGGTTAGACATCAAAGAGCACACACAGGAGAGAAACCTTATGAATGTGATGTTTGTAAGAAGAGATTTTCACTGGGTAGTCATTTGGTTAGTCATCAAAGAACACATACTGGAGAGAAACCTTATGAATGTGATGTTTGTATGAAGCAATTTTCACATAATAGTAAGTTAGTTACACATCAAAGAACACACACTGGAGAGAAACCTTATGAATGTGATGTTTGTAAGAAGAGATTTTCAGATGGTAGTAATTTGGTTAGACATCAAAGAACACACACTGGAGAGAAACCTTATGAATGTGATGTTTCTAAGAAGAGATTTTCACAGGGTAGTGGTTTTGTTAGACATCAAAGAACACACACTGCAGAGTGACCTTATGAATGTGATTAAGAAGAGAACTTTGAACTGTTTCCTAAAGTTATCTTAAGTTCTTCTGTGTAAATAGCATTAAATACTGCATTTTATTGAAATTTTTGGGATTATTGTATTAATTTTGGATGTAAAACTGGTTAAAATCTTACAGACAAATTTTTTGATGATGAAAGTCTTTGTCTAAAAAACCCCCCACCTCTTGAGAGAGTATAATCCCTTACCTCCCCAGAGAGTATAATCCCCCACCTCTCCATATAGTATAATCCCCCACCTCTCCATAGAGTATAATACCTTACCCCACCTTGATAGACGATTTCATGATTAATAATGATTTCTTGCTTTCAGGATTTACCTGAATACATTACAATCATGGAGGAGATATTTAACTGGATGGAATTCTTTGACATAGAGTACATATCATTTAACATATAATAATATTAAAAAAAATTGCCTAGTCATTGGGCTATACTATACGGCTTTCAACCAAAATTGGGATCTTCATGCATTCGAAAAGAACGTAAAAAGTTAGATAGTATATTAAAAAACGTTTTTTGATTTAGTGCAATAATTTCGAAGATACAAGCCTCTAAACTACTTGCGGTCCCTGAGTCCCAGGCTTCTGTAAACAATGGGCAGTTTCAAATTGAATAGCCGTGTTTGGGACTCAGGAACCGCAAGTAGTTTAGAGGCTTGTATCTTCGAAATTATTGCACTAAATCAAAAAACGTTTTTTAATATATTAACTAACTTTTTACGTTTTTTTCAAATGCATAAAGATCCCACGAGTGATATAGGCACTTTAAAAAATTCGCTTTTGAGCATTTCCTTTGATGTTTTCTACTTGCTAGCTGAAGTTTTTATTGAAGCCAGAACAAAGTGTTATTAAAATTAAGCATTGAAATTAAAATTATTTAAATTATATGAGTGGTATCCTTTTTCGTGCTTGACCAAGCTAAAGGTACGTAAATAAAACAATTTATTAATGTTCTCCAAAATTAAAAATCGCAGAGAATGTTCAAAAACGTTGCAAAATGACCCAAATGTGACTAAGACTATGTGCACACGGTAACGTTTTCGAGCGTTTTCATTTTCGTTTTCATGCCAAAACGGTTTGAAACACCGTCAATTTACAAAAGAAGTTGAAGCTAACTTATAAGATAAAGCATATTTTTCCTTGGAACGTGTGGACAGGGCGTCAAAACAATAAAATGGACAAAAGCGATTTTGAAAACGCTCGAAAACGACGCTCGTGTGCACATAGCCTAAGTGAACGATATAAATTATACTAGATTTTCATTGCGGTTCTGTTGCTACCCCGTTGGTAAGGAAAACTAGAATTGACCAATCAGCTACGATTTTGGTTGAAGGCCGTATTAAGGAATTATCATATGGCTCAGTGAGCCTGTTAAATTCACTCTAGTACACCTGGAGTAATGATTCATAGGGGCAGAATTGCAGCTAGAGCTGGGGTGGATAGAGTATGCAGCTCAATGTGCACCCTCAAGTATTTCAGCTAAAAAATCAATAAAACTATTTTAGCTGTAGTCAAGTTTGGACTTTGGACATGATTACTTCCAGTTATCAGAGGTCCAGTGGTGCTAGAGTTCATCGGATTGGTATCCATGACAATGATACAGGGTCATTGGGTCATACAGCGTTGTTATCCTCATATGATCTTCATTTCGTGTGTCTGTTCTTTAGGATGGATAATTTTATGATGAGTCAAATGATTCGGTTATACTGTCTCAATGGACAATTGGATATGGCCTGGTGAGATTCTGGCTTTTGCATAAACTGTGTTCAGTTGAATCCAGTAAATAGTCCAGTTGCAATATGTGTGTATAGACCTGGAAGTCGAGTTAAGATCAGTGAACTCTATAAAACCTGGAACAATAACTGACGTTTGTTTACTCAGCCGCCAGCTTTGAAGCCAATTTAAAGGCAGAAATTGGTACCAGTGCCAGTTCCTTTCTATTGTATTTGTCAGCGCAATGGTGAACCGCGAAGGCTAAAACAATTGAAAGGGACTGGCACTGGTACCCATTTCGGCTTCAGACATGGCGGCCGAGTTATCATTCCAGTTCAAAAAGAGTCCACTGACTTAATAGATAAATACCCCTGAACGGTGATATTTCCAATTGATATTTCCATGTACAGTAAATCCTAAATACAAGAATTTAATCCTTGAGATTAGGTTAGGATTAGCCATTAGGGGTAGGATAAAGTCTGGGATTAGGTTTATAGTTGATTGAGGTTAACCTGAGGCTAACTGAACTTTGGGATTAACCTAATCCCAAGGATTAAGTTCGTGTATTCAGGATTCATTGACATTGAATTATTCCCGAATTTGGTACGACGTCTACATACATTAAAAGTAACTGGACTATTTCGTACACTATTTATGTTGGTTAGTGCGTATAGCAAGCTACCTTGGCATTTTAATGAAATTGTATGCTGTTTGAAGTTTGAACAAATGTTTAACAATGGTTTTCCTTATTCACTTTTCACAGGATGAATATGGAAAAGTTTTCTGGAAAAAATTTTATACCAATGTGAGTTCGCTTAGGATGTTCTTGAATTTTCAGTCGTCGTGTTTTTGTGATGCAACCACCTTGTGTAATGTCTATAATTTAATCGTACGCTGTACGTTTGTTTTTTCAACACAGGTTTGCAGCTCTGTCCTCGTTACTACAAGGAACTCTTGTAACAAAAGAAAAAGAAAAGACAAAGGTATTTTAAAGTTTTCTGAATCATTTGAAAACGTATCTGAAAATTTTACAGGGTGTATCACTTTAAGGTAATTTACAAGATTTTGGAAATTCTGAAAAAATGCTTTCAGATTTCGAGAAATAGCCTGGGATATTTCAGGATTTTAAAACTTTTTGAGAACATCTATAGGTACTTTCAGGAATTCTCAAGGCTTTTCAGGGTACCCTAGGGATTTTAAGGTTCTATTTGAAAGTTATTTCTTTGTTTAGAAAGTGTTTGAAATGATGGCTGCCCAAGGATATCGACTAAATGCTAGCTTACGCAACTCGTACTACAGAGATCTCAACTTTACTGCTGAAGAATGGTAAGTCTTAACACTTTGTGTCAAATACTAACAGAAAATCCCCTTACAGACTAGTTTTTTGTTAAACTAGTTCAGAGGATGCAAATCGTGAGGGTTAACGAGTTGTTTTTCTTCTTATTTTAGCTACAAAATAGACCAATTGTTCGCAAATCTTCCTAGCCGAGTTTCAACTGAGTAAGTTACGAAGAACGCCGATAGTTTGGCGGGAAAATGTTTAACCTGCAATCGACCAAAACGTGGGAAATTTTTTCGCGACAAAAAATCCGGTGGCTCTGGTGTTTCGAATTCGGAAATTCAGAAAAATATTAACGAATTAATAAGGCTCTTTTAAAGAAAAAAAAGACAATTTGGGATTGTAATCGCAACCCACATGAAATTGCTTGTCAATTGTGGTGATGTGGTCGTATATAAGTTGAACAGTGTGAGCTCATCAGTCATAATGTCCCTGATATTTTAATATACTGTTTACTAGCTAAAAAAATCGCCGTTGATTGACGGTTCAAGCTTCAAGAAATTCTACTCGTGTGGCCCTGCTGTTTATTTTCTATGCTGTGTTTTGGTAACAAGATGCACGCGACCAAAATATTGAGACGCTGTGTTTTTTTACGCGTGAGAAGAATTTGCCAGCATTATTTTAAATTCTATGCAATTTACGTATAGCATTTAAACGTTACTTCGACTGAAGATGTTAATTTGTGAACGCGATTATGTGAATCACAAGAGAAAGGAATAAAGAAAGTTTTCTTGTATTTTTTTAAAGCGAAATCTGTCAATGTTGATATCAGTTCGACGTGTCTTGAACTATGTCGGTATTAATATTCATCTCAGCTGGGTCACATTTTGCGAACAATTACCGCTATAGCCTAACTTTGAACGAGATTCAGGCTCACAGCTAGAATAGGAAACCTAAAATACGTTTTAAAACGAAGAAACTAATTAACACTAAAGCCTGAAAATCTAGTTCAAAACATTAAAAATTTCAGCGCCACCACTTGGCGAGCTTGCAGAAAAGCGCGCGAAATTTGAATCTTCCCCAACTAATGAACTTGTGCAAATTTGCCTTTATCGTAACAACAAAACAAAGAGAAAGTCCGTTAACTTACTAAACTAACGATGAAAAAAGCATTAACAACGCCGAGAAGCCGAATAAACGACACAAAGCCATCTTTAACAAGGATATTTACTATTTCAAAATTTGTCAATTCGCTAGTTGTGTGTTTGCATGTTTTGGCTGTCGTAAAGACTAAAGTGCTCGCTAAATCTTTTCAGTTCTTTTTCGTTTATCATAATAGAAAGCTATTGAGTTAGTTCTGTACCGTATACACAAAGTATCGTGACCTCGGTTTAAATACTGTGATATATTGCTATATACAATATAATACAATACAACATCAATAAAAGTTATTATACATTCATGTACAGCACAATTGTACAGCACCTGTAAACATTCAAATTATATCATTATATACAGACTAAGAAAATGTTAGTGACAGCACTGCATCTTGCCAATCTCGAAATATTGATTTAAACTTAATAACACGTAATTACGCATAAATATTAGCTTCTAAGGAAAGACAGTTTTTCCTGTGAAATTACCTGAGAAGCGGGAAACACTTCATGCACGAAATGAAACTCGCACGCACGCGGCAATATTGATTCGAGAAACTCTTCCTGTATATTAAATACATAGGCTAATTAATACTCGATATATTACGACAATAGAATATCATAAAGGATGAGCATTGTTTAACTGTTAACACTCTGTTAAAATTCAAAACTCGTCATTGTTAAACTGTTAAACTATATTCGCAATTCGTAACTACATAAATAAATCGTGATTGAAGCGAATGTTTATAAGAACGGTGAAGAAACTTTAAAGCATTAAATCAACTATTATATTCATTGATATAAAGATTTATATCACGAAGCAAAGTCAGAACCTACCGAGTTCAATTTTGTGTTGTTCAACAAAGCACTGGAGAGATATCGCCGTACAGTTGGGTCATCGCGATAATATTTGCCGAAATCAAACCAGGAAATGTCTGTTCATGAGGAACGGCTTCAAATCGAATCGTCAGCTGAAAAGCTTAGCTCGAACAATTCAAAAACCATAGTTGAAAACGTCGAAAAATGTGAATTACAATTTGAGGAAACTGGCGCTGACATTGACGAGATATTTATGAAGGTTTATGGAAAACCCGGAGAGCCCGTGAGCAGCGAGGAACAGCGGAGAATCGTCGATATGGAAAACGCAAGACGTAAAAGAGCCGAACGAATTTCCAGCGAAAGTAGTGAAGATAGCAACGCTGTTAGGGAAAGTGGAAGCATCGTATTCGGGATGGTGATGATTGATGAGGGTGATATAAAGCAGGATTATGTCATATTTGATGAGGCTGAAATTGATTGGGACGATCTTTTTGAGAATATGGAATCGTCAAACTCCACGACTGAGACAGAAGCAGCATCGAGCACGAGTTCAATTTCATGCACTGTTTTATAAGCCACAACTTCTGGTAACTTTAGAACATCTCGCAACTGTCATAGTACTTAGCTTAGTCGTCTTTTAAACAGTTTTTTTAATTATACAGAATTTTATCTTGAAATCACTGTTTAATTTGTATTCATAACTGACTAATCCACGATTGCTGGTAACTGTAGAACATTGCTCAACTGACATAGTTTATAGTTTACCAGGGCTTTTTATTAAAACACACCTAATTATTGTGACATCGAAGCCGTGTCCTGTCAAAACATAAGTTTGCTATAAGTTGTTTTGAATGTTAATGGCAACGTTCTTGTATATACAAAAAAAATCGCCTGTTTTTTCAAAGCTCATGTAGCTATAAGCATGAAAGGTTAATCGCGATCCTGAAAATCAACAATGTTCCTGTCTCGAATAATACCAATGTCAGGGTTTTTTTAAGAAACGCAGTTGCTAACGAGGATTTAAGATGTAAGACACCCTCGCGAGCTTCGCGGATAATCTTCGTGGGCCAACGCGAGGGAAGATTACCACGCGTGCTGAGGTTTCCCTGCTCAGTTGCAGCCAAATTGAATTGTCGGTTCAGTTTATCCATGCAGGCAGCTCCCGGTTGATAGTGTTATTTTACTGCTTAGATTTTCTTAACCGACGTAATCCTGCGTGGGCGAGTTTTTTTTTGCAGTGGAATTTGTTTTAGACCTCATGCCTGTCCGGACCAGTTGGGTTCTATCGACATAACAGCGCGAACATGCACTAGCATGTTCCCTGTCGAGGAATTGCGTATATTCACGGTAAAGCCACGAGGATTTTTGACAATATACATAGCAGAAGTGCATTGGAGTTTTTAAACAAGGTCTTTTGCAAAGAAATTCCCGCAAATGTCATTTATGATGACATTTCAGGCGAAAGGTTCGAAAGCAAGCGAATTTAAATTTCGACCTTGATCCGGGGTTAAGTTGGAATTCAGATATTAGTTCTGATATATCTTATGACAACCCCGCCACGTAAGTATTCGGTTTCATTTCCGCATCATTGTATACTCTTAAAACTTCGGATAATTTTTTTAAAAGCTGTCGAAAGTAATAAAATTGAATTCAAGGATAAGGTCAAGAAAGCAAAATTCGATTGCTTTAACTTCATAAAACGCGTGTATTCGAGTGTTGTTGTTTATATACTTTACACCCGCGTATACCAAAAAAGTTCAGCTAAAGATATTTCGATATTGTTTAACGAATAATTTCATTGGCCACAGCTCGAACAAAGACGAAGTATATCGTTGAACGAAGGTAAATTGTTTCAAATTTTTCACGACAATGCCGGATTATTCGCTTCATCGCTTCTCATTTTTCCTTAATGAAATGCAAGAATGTCAATTTAAAAAGGGAGATTGTTATTAAACATAGACACTAGCGGTTCTGGCACATTCGCGCGATATATTTATGACACTCGACAACCTCTTGGCCTCGCTTTCTAGTTATTTCGTCTGGAAATCATCGCTTCCGACTTCTCTTACGTCGTAATTAAATATATCAATTGAAAGAGACTTCTTTATCGCTTCAGCTGATCGCCCATCACAGTGAAATATACGCTTACAACCACAGTGGAATATACGCTTACGATTTGCTGTACAGATTACTGGTAAGTCCTTTAAATCAACGTTGTAAATCACATTTCATATTAATACAATAGTCTGGTATATTTCATCCGCGTGGTCACCTAATCCATACTTCCTTTTAGAGGAATTTGCCTGAGTTATTTCCTTGTGACATTTCTTTCAACGAAACTATTTTATAGTTGGATATATTTGAATAGATAAATTCCTACATGTGTCGTTCGCTTGTGAAAACATATATACATATATATTGCGACTTTTCTAAGAAGGAAGGGAGAATTGGTACATTTTGAAATCATTTTGTCTTATCTAAGTCTTTGCTGACTAATCAAATCCTGCTGTATTCATTGCCTTCGTATTTATCAAATCAATTTCCCGAAATTTCTGTGCTGATAGCAGTCTGAAACATGTCACTGAGTATATTTCATATGTCATTTTATGGTGCAAAATAAACATAGGGCTTTTCAAATAAAAGTTGAGCAAATACATGCTTCTGATTCATGATTCATTGACATCGAATGTAAATATACCGAAATCTAAGCCAATCTATATTTTGGTATATCACTTTCAACTGAAATTGTCTTTTGCATAAAAATTTTGCACACGAAAGTGTTTCACAGTCACAGCGTGGGAAAATTCGTTTTTAATCGAAGAAAGGCTTTCACTTTGAGGCACACAAACTTTATTACCGATGAAACAACCGTATTCAGTGTGGGAAAATTATCAACTAACCGCAACCACTTGTGAATCGGATCGCGGTAATATGCTTACAGTTGAACAACTGACTTGATACTTGAATAGAAACACTAAATATACCATGGTATAAAATTTAGCAACAAAAACTCCGTAAATTGTAAACATTTTGGAAATCTAATTTCTATGACTATGCGTTTTGACCAAAGACTTTATTCACCACACTGAGTTATTCTTTGGCGATGCCTGTATGTAGTCTTATGGCAAATCTCGACAGAGACGTAAAGTTGAAATTTTCGAGATGTTTAGAGTTTTACAAACGTACGTGCAGGAATTGATTTCTTAATACAGCCTTTTAATGCAAGATCCAGGATGTGTTTTAACAAGCGACCATTTCATGTTGAGACAAATTAAAGGCTTGCTAATTAAAATCCAATTATATCACCTTATATTTCTACATATGTACTAAAAACATATGACCATATAATTATGTAACAAACAATTCGCTCAAAATTTGTCCACCTGACAAAAATTTGAAACCTCAGTACGTTCCTAAATGTTTATTCATTCGCAATTTGGTTAAAGGAGTGCTCTGAATTGGTATGCTATATATTTGGGTTTATTGTGAATTTTTCTCCAGCGCTGTCGGGGGAAAAGTTATTTCTCACGCACCGTAGGACCCCCAACTGTTCCTCAAGTTAGTTTCGTGACGTAAATGTTCAGTTTCGGTCATCAAAAAAGAATTCCCGCTGGGTTTTAATTTGTGAGAACTGTAAGGGAAACCCCTATGGAGAGCGCAATTATAAACATTGCCTGGACGACAAACTATATATGCTATAGTTGGGAACTTCGGAAGAACACGAATTTTCAAGGCTATTATTTTTGTGCCTATAGGCATATAGTTACATAGTTACAGGACACATTGGAATGAGAGGTTTAGAGTGCTTGAAATGATACCTTTCACAATGGCAATGTCAACGTATCACTTCAAAAAACAAGCCGAATTAAAACTGAAATTATTTTTGTTTTTTTAGATATGTTTGCATGAAGTGTGTTTGTTTTGAACCGACCTATAGAATGATATTTGTCAGAAATGCCATATGAGCTATGTGCACACCGTAAAGTTTTCGAGCGTTTTCACATTCATTTTCATATCAAAACAGTTTCAAATACCATCAATTTACAAATAAAAGTTGAAGCTCATTTAACATATAAATCGTATTTATTTTTAATTGGATCGTGTGGACAAGATGTCTAAATAATAAAAAAGACATAAAAGATTTTGAAAACGCTCGAAAACGACGCTTGTGTGCACATAACTTTAGTATTAATTCAACAATAATGGCGTGAAAATAATGTACTTTGCTTCTTACCAAAAATTTTTATTATTAACGTTTCATATCTTTCTTAATTCTTGAAATATTCTCACTGACGTTATGCTCTCAATGTTATTATCAGTGAGCTGTTGGCCATATTTGATGATTTTTTTAATTTCATATATTGGTTTCGCTTACTTCACAAGGCATTTTATGCCACCTCTGGGGGACCATAATGGTCAAAATACGAAACCCCACTTGTGAAGTAACGTGCGAAAAACGAATCCGGGTTATTCCTAGTCTCCTAGCTATCCAAATCAATCCAAAATGGCTGATTAAAAGCCTCTGCTTTTGGTGGAAAAAAAATCAGTACTTTGGAACAATTGTTTAAAAGTTTTAATCGCATGTATGTTATCATAATTGTGCGCACTGATTTGTGTGTCAAGTATCCAAATGATTTAGTGCACAATAGGTTGCTCTGCTTCTGCAATTGCTAGTCCACGTTCATTATCTCGTTGTCTGTTTGTTATTCTGTCAAGTGTCTTTGAAAAAGTTTAATAAAAAAATGAGTAGACAAGCCCCAGGACTCCATCAAAGCAGGCCTATACATGCCTATCAACCTAATCCAATTTCTTAGGTGATTTTTCATATGTATTTCCCGCGAGATTACATCTTTTGGATTACGGTTCGGATTTAGGGTTACGATTAGGATTTGGATTAAGTTTGGGATTAAAATTAGGTTTAAAAACAGGGTAATTGTTAGGATTTATCTTAGGATTAGGTATCAGATTACGGCTAACTTTGCTAATAAAGCTAGATTTTTAATATGGAAGTCAGCAAATCCTTTTTTGATTTAGACATTAACGCACAATGGCTGAGATTAAGCTCCTGAGTATAAAAAGGAACACAGAAGCCTCGTATTTCTACGATCAAAAATCCTCCGCAACACTCGACTCCAACGAAAACGAAGTCCCCCCGATGAACCGACCCGATCGGTTTCCAAGAAAGATAAGAAAAGGGAGGAAAAAAGATCTAAGAAAGAACAAAAGGAAAGAGAGAAAGAATTAAAACAACTCGAGAAAGAGAAGAGAAAATCTTTGAAAAGTTCTGGTAAAGATGTCGTGGGTAGTGTAGACACGAGTGTACCACACGACGCGGTCAAAACTAACGGAGATCTCAAAACAGGACTTGATGTCGGAAAAGCCTCGAATGAACCCCAGGCCAGGTCACTCGCTGTCGACGGCGACATTAAGAATGATAGCGAGGCACCGTTGGAACAGAACGTTGAGTCAAGTGAAGGGCACGAAAAAGTCAGCAGCGAGTTTAATTTATCAATTAGTACAAACGAAGCATCGGCTCGTGAAAACGTAGAATTGATCGGAAACGCAACCTCCGGTGTTGAGCACGAAACTAGCATCAAAAGTCGCGGAATTACGAACGATGGACACGATGTTGAACAATCTGAACTCAGTTTCGGAAACGGTGCGGTAATTGAGGAAACGATCAAACCTGAAGACGCGGAATCTACCGAGGAAGCCCCCCCGGATAGTTTCTCTCAGCCGGTTGTTTGTCCTGCATTCCCGGAGCCGACCGGGGGGCAGCATGTCGAAATCGAAATATCTGAAGTCGGTGAGTTAGACGTTGACCCATCAAGTTCAGACGAAGTCGTGGTCTCCCCCCAAGATCCCTTCCACGGCCATCCCGGTGAAGGTGAAATAGTTGTCTCTACTGTTCAAATTGTGGAAAGCAGTGTTGACGTGGATAGTTTTTTCGCTGAGGATTATGGGCCACTGGAGCAGGTCGAGAAGGAAGAAGCGCGAAAAAGCGTGCGCTTCCAGGATGAAACGGAAGAGATCGGATGCAGCGATGGCGATACGGAAGATCACGAGCACGCGTCGCTGAACCTCGGGGGTGACTTTACCGAGACGGACGACGATGATCAAAAACGAAAACTCGAACCGGCGGTTGAAATCGTGAGGAAAGAGGAACGACAAACGGTCGAAAGTTGCGTCGATTTGGACAACGTTTTCGCGCCATCCAAAAGGCAGTCGGACGATACCGAAGCAGTTCCGAGCAAAGCCGAAGGAAATCATGCAGGTTCGAAGGTAAATGGTAGCGCAAAAGTCAACGGAAAAGCAGCCGGAAACGGTCGAACGAATATGGGGCGTTTTGAGGAGATAGATTTGAACGGTTCAAACGAGCAAAAAAATACGACTGTGGCTAAAAAAGAAAAAAGGAAAAGAAGCAGGCTTATGCGATGCTGTTTTCCTTGAAACGCCACAATGAAGTAAAAGATAAGTTTACGTTCTGCGATTTTTATTAAGTTTATGATTCGGCTCTCTGGTGTGAAATACCTAAATTTTATAAAATTTTATACCTGTGGTGATTAGTGATCAATGAAGTGAATATTTAACAAACCAGAGAGCTCGTGTAAATAATGTTGCTGATCAAATGACGGACAAACGAGAACTTATAAAAAGAAAAAAATATGAAAAGTTGAACAGCAATTCGCTCTGTATATGAACTGGATTTTCTTGAGTTGGTACTTTTTATTCGACGGGCGCAATATTCTGCTACAAAACAATATTTTAACTAGTTTTAGGACAGTACTATGATTCATCATAGAAGAATAGCCTCCATTATGTATATCCACTGTGAAATATAAAATGTAAAACACTTTTGCCCCAAATTCTCGTTTTATACCCGATTGTAAGCAGTGGATGCTGGTTGGCTCATCAGATTTCATCTAAGATTTGACTTTGCAACCAGCCAGTCATGTTTGATAATTATAATAAATGAGGGTATATAAGGATATGTAAGGGTATATAAGGATAATTTCACTTTGATCAAAGAGTAGCCCGTCTGATCCAAAATTGAATCTATTGATCTACAGGGTGTCCCCAAAAAAGTCACCCTTATTGAAATGAAGCTTTTGTCGGAATTTGAATGCATGATCAACGCAGTAGTGTGGAAATAGCATAGTTATTAGGTTGAGGAATTAAAATAAAGCGTCTTGCTTTCAATTGGGTTTAGTTTATCATAATATTAAGGCAATCAGATTCTAACAAAGGCTTGATTTCAATAGAGGGGACACCCTGTACATTTCCCACTGAATATTTTGTCCATAAATTGCTTCTTCATTGTATAACTACGATTAGAAATGGCTTAACACGAACAATGCGATTTCATTTGATTTGAAATCAAAATTTTCACCAGTGGGACTGACTGATCTCAAGGTATTGTCCGCGTTCTAGGCAAGGTGAAAACTGCATATAATGAAAGACTAATCATGCAGGTTAAGTCTTTGATGTGATACGCTTTTTACCTCGCTTAGCCGGGGTAACTCGCTCCATGTAAACAGGCCCTTAAAATGATTTACTAATTTGTGATTCAAATTTCACAATTGAAAATAATTGTAATAACACAATTCTACGCATTATCGATTTGTTAAACTCTGGACTGAAATTTAGAATAGGTTCGAATCGAAGATTTACTACGAAATTTTAAGGCTGAAAGGTTTTGAATAAAGAAACGTTAACCAACATTGCAAAACCTGACTCTTTAAAATGAAATGGTTGAAATATTTCAAACCAAAGCGGTGGACATGCAAGTTTCTAGAAGCAAGGTAAAATAAGTAGTTTCGTTACTTTCGTATTTGGCCAGTTTCTATCGCAATGGTAAAAGAAAGGCATTGTACAGCCCAGAGATTGAACTTTATTTGCATGAAAAGTATGTCTTTTAACTAAATATCACATCACACCGACGATGACCGCGGCTAAAGTTGGATAACCTTTTCTGAAAATACACGCTCATGCAATAATGAGCATTCAAAAGCGATTAAACCACTCATGAGTTAACCGCAATCCAGTGTTCTACAAATATTTGAATATAGGATACACAAGTCGCTCTCGAATTTAATGTAAACTTAATTATTTCAATCTTGACTTTGTAGTTTTACTTTCAAGCCCGGTCAGACAGGAAGCACTTGGACTTAAAAGGGTATATTGAGAACGGCAAAGCACTTAGAATAAAGAACCTCTGTATAGGGTATGATTGTTTAAGTCTTTTCAAATCGAGTTAATATCTGCATTCAATTCTTGGCAACGCCAGCGTGTTATCGTTTTCAGTTCAGAGCTCTGGTTTATTCCATGTTTATAATATACTATGGGACAAAGGTCGGTCTCCACCGGTAAAATTTGAACCTATAGGGCAATAGATTGCTTAGAGTCTAGACTAGACTACCTTTGTCAAGATTTTATAGTGTATGCGTGCTCTCGGCCGGGAATCGAGGCCTGACTGGAGTGTTTACACTGTAAGGAAAGTGTAAACAATATTCTTAAATCCAATTCACGGCTTCTGGCGTATGGAATGTAGTCCGTTATTGATACAGCAGTACTGCATTAGCTTTATAAAGTTGATGTGCTGTCGGCCATATAGCTGCGTTGCAAGTCAGCAAACTATAAAGCATCCATCAGAAGCGAACTGGATCTATCAAAGTTGGATCGTGTGAACAGACCTATAAATCACATACTAGCCAGGAATCAACCCGTAATATAAACACGGCTTTTTTAAGCCTGACTCAATGGCCACAGATTCACTTTCAATTTAGGAAATACACTTAAAAAGAAACCTTTGGCTTTGCCTCGAATTTAGATCATTATTGCGAACATTTTCCCGCCCCTTTAAATCGCCAGCGATTGTTTAGCCATCGACATGTCGTGCGGTCCTCAACGACGCTACATCGTTATATAATTTAACGTGGGTGGCAAGCGTCATTACCTCGTTTTCGAAACATGCACCTCCTGCTTTGACGTCGACGGCAAAGCAATTTCGTGACTACTGCAAAAAGCGCGTGCAATTTAATGTGATTCTGTTCAAAGTCAGGCTAATTTCAGCACAGTTTGTGCATGTGTATATTATATGTGTACATTAGCCCGCACTGTTATTGTTACACCCTCATTACCGTTGATCTCTAATGATAAACATAATATTGGCCTTGTCTGACATATCAACACGAAGCTCCAGTCTACCTAACTAATGTAACTCCAAAATATGCAATTCTGTCACTAACTGTAGTTACAATTTAACTATAGTTACAATTTAACTGTAGTTACAATTTAACTGTAGTTACAATTTATAAATCTGGCTTCTGTTAGGGCCTGTTTACATGGAGCGAGTTATCCCGGCTAGGCGAGGTAAAAATCGCATCACATCAAAGGCTTAACCTGACTAGTCTTTCATTATATGCAGTTTTTGCAGTTTTACCTTGCCTAGCCGGGATAACTCGCTCCATGTAAACAGGCCCTTAGAAGATATGTCTGAGTAAGTTTGCTTCAATCACAGCATTGCAGTGAACTCTGATATGACTTGAACGATAAATCAGGAGTTTAGAGAAGGGACGTTGTGCTGTATGTAAATGAACTTAAGGAGTTGAATCCTTACTATTAGGGCATAATGGACTCAAATGTTTATGGAAGCCTTTTCACGCGATGTTACTCTTTGAAAACATATTCTTATGATATATAGTGTAAAGCGAGGTTTCCATATGTAAACACAAACGATTCATCTTAAATTTGTGGAAAAATTATCTAAAACGTGACAAAACCACAGTGCAGTGTAGCAGCATTTTCGTATGAAATACAATGCAGTGGTTATAGAACATTATTTTGATGATTATCTTTATCTTATTCAAAGTGCATTTCCTCATATATACCCTGGCCTAGCAGACCTCACTCAATTCCTATAAACCTCATTCCAGTTTTTTTGACGGAAATTTTTTTAAAAAAACACAATTCATCTCCATTACGAACTAACCTTGGTTAAACTTGTGCAAAGTGTGTTGCGATGCTTATCCCGGAAGCAACAGCCAAACCTTTCGTGTACCAAACAAACTATCACTATTTTGTTTATTTCAAAAGAATCGATCACGTCGCATCCTGTTACATTTTATTAATGATACATTAAATTGATCGACTTGACTGGCATGTCACTCAATGTCGTTGTCATAACAATTGCAATTACAACGGACCTCTGTCAGTTTTTAAATCCGCCTGTTCGGTGGTCTAAGCTTTGAGTCAACGCTGCACGCGTTTACAGACAGATCAAGAAGAGTCGACCCAACACTGAAAATCCAACGTAGTCTTACTTTTTGAAACAAACAGCGACACTCCACGATGAATTATGGAGTTTGGTTTGCAATTTGTAACGTTTTTTCAAGTGTGCTTTTCCTCACCGATTCTCTTAGCCACCACAACGTCGTTGGTGGCAGCGATTGTAAAGGCAAGGCCTACTACATCTTAACATTTCGGGCGGAATGGAGCAACGACACTCATCCTTCGCCGGTTTTCCCGGAGAACGCCATGTTTTCCGAACTCATCGGAGCTACACACGGGAGCGCTTACGAAATGTGGAGACGACACCAGAACGCCTCAATCGGCGTACAGAAAGTTGCCGAGACAGGTAAGACGAATGCTTTTACTTACGGAGAAATAGTTATGTAACTCGTCAGATATTCAACTAGTTAAATTTGTATGCCAATTATGAAGTGTTAAACTTTTTCCCCAGATATGTAGTGCATGTACAGTACACCGAAATTCTGTTGATTCCAATTTACTGCTTATACAAGTTAATGCCTTCATCCCTGTGAAAACCTGCTGTAAAAAGGCACCTAGGACAGTAGATATTGTTAACAAAGTTATAAACATTCACTATGAAAAAACGTCGGTCATAAGCTAGCATCTTTCCTTACGATTAAAATGAGAAATGTTCGCCTTCTTAGCGCACTTAAATGCCAGTACTTGTAACTATACCGAAGAGCAATTCGGAAATTCTCGCAAGTGTTACGGTGAATATATGGTAAATGTTTCTCTTGAAAGTTCGACTACGTTTCCAGATCTTACCATATTCACCCTTCGGCGTTTTTTCATCAATTTCTCTCTATGATGCTCGAAATTTAACTAGATTTCTCTAGATTTACTGTATGTTGTGTGTTTGCATGGATACAGTGAAAGCCCTCCTCAATTCCTTGTTGCTCCTAATGAGAACATTAACGATACAGTTATGATCATAATGTCGGTCAATAATTGCCACTTGCCACAAAAATTACTGCCATAAATATGCTGCTGTACGGATTCCTCTCCCACGCGATATGATCGGTTGCGCATATGACTCCATCACAATGAAAAAGACTACAGATGTAAATTTGGGATGTCAGCTCTCGACAAAGATTAGGGGCCACTCATAGTAACAATCTAGAAGTAATTTCATGTCATTATCAATTAACAGATAACTATAATGCAATTCACACATATTGAAAACTTCGAAATGGGTTATTTTACTACGTTTATTTAGGCGGGAAATTACTAAATTTTGGGAACCTACAATCGATGCTTAAATAGAATATCATGTCCGCTCATTTTACGTATCTCATGTCTAAATTCCTTCGTATAAAGAAATCTTACACAGTGTATTTTAATTTCAAGGCAATAACAGCATTCTTTACAAAGAGTTGTACCGCGAACTTCGCTATGGGAATGTCAGATCAGTGATCAAAGCTACTGGACCGACCAAGACTCCTGGAAACACGACACTGGCCGATCTCCTGCATGTTGACGAAGACAGATCATTGGTCTCCTTGGTAACAATGATCTTCCCGTCTCCTGATTGGTTCCTGGGGATATCGAATGTTGATATGTGTGATCGAATGACAGGGAAATGGAGAGAAGAATACTCGCGTGACCTGTGGCCGTACGATTCTGGTACGGATGATGGAACGTCCTTTGAAAGCCCAGATTCACCATCAGATCCCAGGCAAAACATAACACTCATTAAAAAAGACGATGAAACAAATTTCAAGACAAACTCTTCAATTAGGCGTCTGGGTACCTTCACTTTTACAAGGGTTCCAACAAAGAAGTGCAAAGGAAAAGCTTATTACGTTTTAACATTCAATGCAACGTGGAGCAACGAAACTCATCCCTCGCCAGTGTTTCCAAAGAATGCAAAGTTTTCAAGACTCATTGGAGCAACTCACAACATGTACTATGAAATGTGGCGTCGAGGAAAAATAGCTTCACCCGGAGTCAGAACAGTTGCTGAGACAGGTAAATATGTTTCTGTTGAATATTTCACAGTTATTCTGCGAACTCGAGTCGTATATGAGCTGATAGTGAGCAGAATAACTGTTTTATTATATACACAAACTTTGTCGCCCTTTTGGTGCATTTTGGTGTGCTATTATCAACTAAAACTTGGATTTCTATTTCACTCAACTCCCCAAATTTTTCAGCCATTTTGTTTACTTTCTCTACTAGACAGATATGAGCTAATATCTGTCTAGTAGCCAACCAATGAAATTGCAGCATACCTCATATCTGGCGCTTGTGTGTACAATAACATGAATTAGACGTTTCTCTTTCATTTCATATAAATAAATCACTAATTCAGTTTTCTGCCTCAATTTCATCAAAACGCTACCTCATTGAGTGTCGTATTGCTTCAGAACACACAGAACCATTCAATCTAACCTTCTTTATTGCCAGGTAACATAAGTCTTCTTGCAACGGAGGTATATCATCAAGAACGCCAAGGGAATGTAAAATCAGCGATTGTTTCAGGAGGACCCACCTATACCCCTGGAAAAACAGAACTTATGAACATCCATGTTGATACCGATCGATCCATGGTTTCCTTAATAACAATGATCTTCCCATCACCAGATTGGTTCTTGGGAATATCAAATGTTGATATGTGCAACCCAAAGACCGGAGAATGGAGGGAGAGTTTAGAACGATATCTGTTACCATACGACTCAGGAACTGATGATGGAAATTCGTTTGAAAGTCCTGATTCCCCTTCAAAACCCAAGAAGAATATATTCCTTATTGGAAATGAAGATGATACCAACTTCAAAAGTTATTCCAAAATTGAACCACTCGGCAAATTCACTTTCAAGAAGATGCCAACAAAGAAGTGCAATGGTAAAGCTTATTACAGTTTGACATTCAAAGCAACATGGAGCAACGAAACTCATCCCTCACCAGTGTTTCCAAAGAATGCAAAGTTTTCACAACTCATTGGAGCCACTCATAATATGTACTACGAAATGTGGCGTCGAGGAAAAATGGCCTCACCCGGAGTGAGAAATGTTGCTGAGACAGGTAAAGAAATGTAACCATCATTGATTTTTACTTAAGATAGCAAACCAAGCTATAATCACCTGTAATGTCATAAGCTTGGCTACTTGGGAAGTTTTCGTTACTTGTAAAAGGGTGGTTTCTATAGATATAGTATACTTAAAAGTAAAATGCTCAAAATAACTTTTTCGACGATTTGTTTTGTTTCTTTGTTATTTGTTTTTGTATTTTTGTCCAGTAAGGAAGATTTTTATCTTCCAAAGCAGGATATTTACTGTGGATAAAAAACGTAAAACAGTGACAAAAATACTACTGCATTACACAATTAGCAACTGCAATCATTTTTGAAAACTTTCCAGTAGTTATAATCATACCTCGCTTATTCTTAAGGATTTTTGTTGTACATTTTGGCAGTTTGGGATATATTGGTCGTTATTGTATTGTGGCTTTAACTCGAAATATTGATTGTCTTAACTTTTTATCAGTAAAATCTTTGTATTTCACTCTGTGTTTCAAACGCTTCAATGATTGAGAAACATACTTAGATCTTGTATCGTGAAAGATACCCACCTCATGCATCAATCATATAAAGTATCAAGTCTAAAGAATGTGATATAGATCAAACGTTCCCCAGTTAACACAGTCTATATGTTAAAATTATCTCTTTAAAACTACGATTGACTGTCAATATAACAATGTTCTTTGATTTTCCAGGAAGTGAATGTCTTCTCGAGGCAGAAATACAGAAACAGAAAAGATATGGCAACGCCTACTCCCTAATAAAAGGAGACGCAGCAATCAGCACACCTGGAGAGAGAACTTTAACAAACATTCATGTCGATGAAGAACGATCTATGGTTTCCTTAATAACAATGATATTCCCATCACCAGATTGGTTCTTGGGAATATCAAATGTTGATATGTGCAACCCAATCACAGGTGAATGGAGGGAAAGTTTAGAACGATATCTGCTGCCATATGACTCAGGAACTGACGATGGAAATTCGTTTGAAAGTCAAGATTACCCTACAAAACCCAGAAAAAATATATTCCTCATTGGAAATGAAGATAATACCAACTTCAAGAGCGATTCCAAAATTGAACCACTTGGCAAATTCACTTTCAAGAAGATGCCAACAAAGAAGTGTAAAGGAAAAGCTTATTACATTTTAACATTCAAAGCAACATGGAGCAACGAGACTCATCCCTCGCCAGTGTTTCCAAAGAATGCAATGTTTTCACCACTTATTGGAGCAACTCACAACACGAAATACGAAATGTGGCGTCGAGGAAAAATGGCATCACCTGGCGTCCAAGACGTTGCTGAGAAAGGTAGTTATCCTTTTGATATGAGGTGACCATTTTAATATATTTGACATGCAGTTTTCACAGTATTTTGTTAATTTTATCTTCCAGGAGATCCAAATGTTGCTGCTAAAGAAATTTACAATCAACATCGTTATGGAAACGTTAAATCACCTATCCTTAGCAACGGTACCATTAAAACTCCAGGAACCACAACATTGATGGATCTTCATGTGGACGAATATCGTTCGTTAGTATCCGTTATAACAATGATATTCCCATCACCAGATTGGTTTTTAGGAATATCAAATGTTGATATGTGCAACCCAATGACAGGAGAATGGAGGGAGAGTTTAGAACGATATCTGTTACCATATGACTCAGGAACTGATGATGGAAATTCGTTTGACAGTCCAGATCAACCTTCAAAACCAAAGAAGAATATATTCCTCATTGGAAATGAAGATAACACCAATTTCAAGAGTGATTCAAAAATTGAACCTCTCGGCAAATTCACTTTCAAGAAGATGCCAACAAAGAAGTGTAAAGGAAAAGCTTATTACACTTTAACATTCAAAGCAACATGGAGCAACAAAACTCATCCCTCGCCAGCGTTTCCAAAGAATGCAATGTTTTCACGACTCATTGGAGCAACTCACAACACGAAATACGAAATGTGGCGTCGAGGAAAAATGGCCTCACCTGGCGTCCAAGACGTTGCTGAGAAAGGTAGTTATCCTTTTGATATGAGGTAACCATTTTAATATATTTGAAATGCATTTTATGAAAGTATTTTGTTAATTATATCTTCCAGGAGATCCAAATGTTGCTGCTAAAGAAATTTACAATCAACATCGTTATGGAAACGTTAAATCACCTATCCTTAGCAACGGTACCATTAAAACTCCAGGAACCATAACATTGATGGATCTTCATGTGGACGAATATCGTTCGTTAGTATCCGTTATAACAATGATATTCCCATCACCAGATTGGTTTTTAGGAATATCAAATGTTGATATGTGCAACCCAATGACAGGAGAATGGAGGGAGAGTTTAGAACGATATCTGTTACCATATGACTCAGGAACTGACGATGGAAATTCGTTTAAAAGTCCAGATTACCCTTCAAAACCCAAGAAGAATATATTCCTCATTGGAAATGAAGATGATACCAACTTCAAGAGCGATTCCAAAATTGAACCTCTCGGCAAGTTCACCTTCAAAAAGATGCCAACAAAGAAGTGTAAAGGAAAAGCTTATTACAGTTTAACATTCAAAGCAACATGGAGCAACGAGACTCACCCCTCGCCAGCGTTTCCAAAGAATGCAATGTTTTCACCTCTCATTGGAGCAACTCACAACACGAAATACGAAATGTGGCGTCGAGGAAAAATGGCCTCACCTGGCGTCCAAGACGTAGCTGAGAAAGGTAGTTATCCTCTTCTTACCAGGTAACCATTTTAATATGTTTGAAATGCATTTTATGAAAGTATTTTGTTAATTTTATCTTCCAGGAGATCCAAATGTTGCTGCTAAAGAAATTTACAATCAACATCGTTATGGAAACGTTAAATCACCTATCCTTAGCAACGGTACCATTAAAACTCCAGGAACCACAACATTGATGGATCTTCATGTGGACGAATTTCGTTCGTTAGTATCCGTTATAACAATGATATTCCCATCACCAGATTGGTTTTTAGGAATATCAAATGTTGATATGTGCAACCCGATGACAGGCGAATGGAGGGAGAGTTTAGAACGATATCTGTTACCATATGACTCAGGAACTGATGATGGAAATTCGTTTGAAAGTCCAGATTACCCTTCAAAACCCAAGAAGAATATATTCCTCATTGGAAATGAAGATAATACCAACTTCAAGAGCGATTCCAAAATTGAACCTCTCGGCAAATTCACTTTCAAGAAGATGCCAACAAAGAAATGTAAAGGAAAAGCTTATTACATTTTAACATTCAAAGCAACATGGAGCAACGAAACTCATCCCTCACCAGCGTTTCCAAAGAATGCAATGTTTTCACCACTCATTGGAGCAACTCACAACACGAAATACGAAATGTGGCGTCGAGGAAAAATGGCCTCACCTGGCGTCCAAGACGTTGCTGAGAAAGGTAGTTATCCTTTTGATATGAGGTGACCATTTTAATATATTTGACATGCAGTTTTCATAGTATTTTGTTAATTTTATCTTCCAGGAGATCCAAATGTTGCTGCTAAAGAAATTTACAATCAACATCGTTATGGAAACGTTAAGTCACCTATCCTTAGCAACGGTACCATTAAAACTCCAGGAACCACAACATTGATGGATCTTCATGTGGACGAATATCGTTCGTTAGTATCCGTTATAACAATGATATTCCCATCACCAGATTGGTTTTTAGGAATATCAAATGTTGATATGTGCAACCCGATGACAGGCGAATGGAGGGAGAGTTTAGAACGATATCTGTTACCATATGACTCAGGAACTGATGATGGAAATTCGTTTGAAAGTCCAGATTACCCTTCAAAACCAAAGAAGAATATATTCCTCATTGGAAATGAAGATGATACCAACTTCAAGAGCGATTCCAAAATTGAACCTCTCGGCAAATTCACTTTCAAGAAGATACCAACAAAGAAATGTAAAGGAAAAGCTTACTACATTTTAACATTCAAAGCAACATGGAGCAACGAAACTCATCCCTCACCAGCGTTTCCAAAGAATGCAATGTTTTCACCACTCATTGGAGCAACTCACAACACGAAATACGAAATGTGGCGTCGAGGAAAAATGGCCTCACCTGGCGTCCAAGACGTTGCTGAGAAAGGTAGTCATCCTTTTGATATGAGATTACCATTTTAATATATTTGAAATGCATTTAATGAAAGTATTTTGTTAATTTTATCTTCCAGGAGATCCAAATGTTGCTGCTAAAGAAATTTACAATCAACATCGTTATGGAAACGTTAAATCACCTATCCTTAGCAACGGTACCATTAAAACTCCAGGAACCACAACATTGATGGATCTTCATGTGGACGAATATCGTTCATTAGTATCCGTTATAACAATGATCTTCCCATCACCAGATTGGTTTTTAGGAATATCAAATGTTGATATGTGCAACCCAATGACAGGAGAATGGAGGGAGAGTTTAGAACGATATCTGTTACCATATGACTCAGGAACTGATGATGGAAATTCGTTTGACAGTCCAGATCAACCTTCAAAACCAAAGAAGAATATATTCCTCATTGGAAATGAAGATAACACCAATTTCAAGAGTGATTCCAAAATTGAACCTCTCGGCAAGTTCACTTTCAAGAAGATGCCAACAAAGAAGTGTAAAGGAAAAGCTTATTACATTTTAACATTCAAAGCAACATGGAGCAACGAAACTCATCCCTCGCCCGTGTTTCCAAAGAATGCAATGTTTTCACCACTTATTGGGGCAACTCATAACACGAAATACGAAATGTGGCGTCGAGGAAAAATGGCCTCACCTGGCGTCCAAGACGTTGCTGAGAAAGGTAGTTATCCTTTTGATATGAGATTACCATTTTAATATATTTGACATGCATTTTATGAAAGTATTTTGTTAATTTCATGTTCCAGGAGATCCAAATGTTGCTGCTAAAGAAATTTACAATCAACATCGTTATGGAAACGTTAAGTCACCTATCCTTAGCAACGGTACCATTAAAACTCCAGGAACCACAACATTGATGGATCTTCATGTGGACGAATATCGTTCGTTAGTATCCGTTATAACAATGATCTTCCCATCACCAGATTGGTTTTTAGGAATATCAAATGTTGATATGTGCAACCCAATGACAGGAGAATGGAGGGAGAGTTTAGAACGATATCTGTTACCATATGACTCAGGAACTGATGATGGACATTCGTTTGAAAGTCAAGATTACCCTTCAAAACCAAAGAAGAATATATTCCTCATTGGAAATGAAGATGATACCAACTTCAAGAGCAATTCCAAAATTGAACCTCTCGGCAAGTTCACCTTCAAAAAGATGCCAACAAAGAAGTGTAAAGGAAAAGCTTATTACATTTTAACATTCAAAGCAACATGGAGCAACGAAACTCATCCCTCGCCAGCGTTTCCAAAGAATGCAATGTTCTCACCACTCATTGGAGCAACTCACAACACGAAATACGAAATGTGGCGTCGAGGAAAAATGGCCTCACCTGGCGTCAAAGACGTGGCTGAGAAAGGTAGTTATCCTCTTCTTACCAGATAACCATTTTAATTGATTTGAAATGCAGTTTTTAAAGTATTTTGTTAATTTTATCTTCCAGGAGATCCAAATGTTGCTGCTAAAGAAATTTACAATCAACATCGTTATGGAAACGTTAAATCACCTATCCTTAGCAACGGTACCATTAAAACTCCAGGAACCACAACATTGATGGATCTTCATGTGGACAAATATCGTTCGTTAGTATCCGTTATAACAATGATCTTCCCATCACCAGATTGGTTTTTAGGAATATCAAATGTTGATATGTGCAACCCAATGACAGGAGAATGGAGGGAGAGTTTGGAACGATATCTGTTACCATATGACTCAGGAACTGATGATGGAAATTCGTTTGAAAGTCCAAATTACCCTTCAAAACCAAAGAAGAATATATTCCTCATTGGAAATGAAGATGATACCAATTTCAAAAGTTATTCCAAAATTGAACCTCTCGGCAAATTCACTTTCAAGAAGATGCCAACAAAGAAGTGTAAAGGAAAAGCGTATTACCGTTTGACATTCAAAGCAACATGGAGCAACGAAACTCATCCCTCGCCCGTGTTTCCAAAGAATGCAATGTTTTCACCACTCATTGGAGCAACTCATAACATGTACTATGAAATGTGGCGTCGTGGAAAAATGGCTTCACCCGGAGTTAGAACAGTTGCTGTGACAGGTATAATCATATTTTCGCTTGCTAGACCTATTCGTTTAAAGTTTTTCATGCTAAATGGTAGAATGATATAAAACTCCTTGCTTGTGAATGTAGTCAAGGTGGTTTTTTGATAACCTTATTGAAAGAATGACACTATGTATAACTAGGTCATGTGCTGCTGATTCTGTAGTACGGATTTTGTGACCTGCGTTATATTGCTACCCTCCAATTTACGACTAATGTAACTTTTTTAACCTGTCTTTAGGAAACAACACCATCCTTTCAAACGAGATTTACCGTCAAAAACTATATGGCAACGTTCTCATGCATTTTGGTGCGAAAGGGGCCACGAAAACGCCAGGAGTTCTAAACCTCACCAAAATTCTTGTAAACGAAAGCCATTCTCTGATATCTGCAATCAGCATGATTTTCCCATCTCCCGACTGGTTTCTTGGAATTTCAAACATGGACATGTGCAACATGGCGACGGGAGAGTGGCGAGAGCGTTACACCAGGGACCTTCTACCTTACGATTCCGGATCAGACGATGGAACCTCATTTGGGAGTCCAGATTCACCCTCGAATCCTAGAAAGAATATTTTCCTTATCGGCAACGAAGATGAATCGAGTTTCAAGAGTCGTGCAGAGATAAGGAGCCTGGGAGTTTTGGTTTTAGAAAGAGTTGAAGAGAGTAATGACGATAACAACGTTGATGATAACAATAATGGCAGAGATAATGGCGACGATAATAAATCAAGCTCCCCTTCCCATAATGGTTATAAAATTTTTATAGCCTTCACCTCTTTCCTGGTTATTTTCATTGTACAAACATGAATTGTAGATAAGTTATAATTTAATTTTGTAATTAGTTGATTAATAAGCTGATCAACATGTTTTTCAAAACATGATATAACCTCAGTATTTCTGTTGTGACATTTTAGGAATGTGAAGTTAAAGAAGAATGTTTTTCAAAACTGGGTATATCCTCGGTATTTCTATATTACTTTATCATTTATGTGCTCTATGTATCATTACAAGAAACGTTTAAAGCGTTTTATGCCTCTCTAGGAAACATATGCTCTAAAATTCCCTGATGTTCAGTTGTAATGCACTTGCCTACAACAATTACAATTCAAAATGGCGGCCAAAGTCATTGATAACTGGTCTACTAATATTAGATTTAATCCGAAATACCTGCATAACGAATATCATAAATGTATTTATCGTTTTATCTATCTTAGTACAGTTGGAATGTTCTAATATAATTTGACGAAATGCCTGATTTCGCACATCTGGGAGATCTATGAATATTACATTTGTCTGTCGTTGAAAGTTTCCCTAATTGCATTTTTAAAATTACATTGAAAATAACTAGGTATCTTTTTAACAAGAATTTTTTCACCTCGCTCTATCACATTCCTTGAAATGAAACATAAAACATGAAAATGAAACATGAAACTTCGCAAGAATTGTACAAGAGTTACATAACAATAAAAATATGAATTGTATGTGCATAAACTGAGTTTACCGATTATGTTCACGTATTTGCATGCTAAATACGTTGCCAAATTTCAACATCAATGACGTTTACAGAGTCATTTTGCAACTGATGTCATAAGTGTGTTATCTTTGTATCAAACAAAGTTGATTATCTCAAGAGGTAAGGCAGTTTAAGAAATCCCAGCGAAGAGTTATACTTAATGATTTTAAACGATTATCTGACTGAGCGAATATGTGTCTGGACTTTGGTATTCATAGATGCTTATAAATATTTTTTTCCTAGAGTAACAGGATGATGGATTTTTCCATCACCCAAAAAAAAGGTAAAAAGATTTTTCGTTAAAACCACCTTCAAAAAAGAATGAATCAAACACACTCCTATTGTCGAAGCGATACTTGCACCTCAACTCCTCAAGTTCAGTTCAATGTTGACATTTCAGCTCCAGAACAGAAACGTTGTACTGCTGATCATGCATACCGAAGGCCAAACGTCACATGACATCATTCGTTTACAATGCTATTATGCTAAACATGAAAAATCGATTTGAGAAAAACGACTAACTAAGAGAAAACTCCTAACATATCAATGATTGATGATGATCACTTGAAACTGAATTTCAATCTCAAGCTTTCGTTTTGTAAGAATTTGTGGATATCATTGTTAATAGGAACGTGTATCTATTTATATTTTCCTTATCAATTGCGCAACACAACCAGTGTGCGAAAAGAAAGGTCTTGATCGCCTCGATCATAACAAAAATGACTCATGAAATTGATTGAACGCCCCGTCAAAATTCGAGAGGGATAAGCGAGTCATTCTAATGAAAAAGATAGATGTCTGCGAATCGTTAATCTCCTTACGATGGATATATGCCATACAGAGAGATTTCATATCCATTTTTAAAATGTTGTTTTTAAAATCAATGTAAATTGTAATGCAAATCTGATCAATTTTGAGCTTAATAGTCCTCTATATGTGTTCCTCGCCTAAACGAACTATAAGCACAAAGTAGTATGTTTCTGGCATGCAAAACTTTAGCGTGGCGTTGCAAATTTTCCGATATTTCTCATCTCATTTTGAAATAATCCCTGATAAGCTTAAGACGTTTGAGCGATTGAACGAGACGTTTGGTTTTAAACACGTCGTTGCACTAATCCCAAAAATACCCTCAGCGGTCGAAATTCCTCCAGGCTATAAGTGTGCTTTTAGCAAAACATCGTCCTTTGGTAGCTGTGGTATTTCCTTAGCGGCCAATTTGACGGCTTTTCAGAGCAAAATAAACCCATCTATTCAATTATCAATATACAATGTTGAACCAACTGGATTAAGCGTCCTGTAGTGTAGTGTAGGGTCTGGCGATACGATTGTTACTTAGGAAAATATTACAAATATTTGAAAGATTTAAAAGCTTCTACGTAGTGTACGTGCGTATGTGAAAAAAGGAATGGAAGATCAGTTTCGATTTACGGAATTAAAACCATATAATATATCACATATCTAAAAAAGATGGCCCATTTTAAGCAGTCTTTCAAAATCTGAACGTTTCAATTCTCTTCCCCTCGATAGAGTGGTAGAAATCTTGTCCAGATCAGGTTTGCTCTGCATGACTGAATTAGCAGCGATATTTCTGGCAATTTCACATACCAAAATAGGTAGTTAACTATTTTTTCATATCAGTCACATACGTATACATGCATTTAATGTTTCAGATTAGTTTAGTTTAAAGGTTTTTCAATCGGTGCGAAGCCATTCACGATGAACGATGACTCAAATTAGGCCACTCTCAGAAAAGGTTTCGGAATGACAAGCACATATATGCAATCTGATGTTAAAGCGTCAACGATGATTGAGCGACCGGATGTCATAATCGTAAGCTTATCTATCCATTTTACTGCTTAAGTACAGCAATAAAAATAAATGTAACATGCACTTAAACTGCTGCGTATTTGAGTTTTATCTCAGGGCACTCACAAAGACTCAAGATATCTGTTAAAATCACCTGTGAAATACACTGTACATTGCCTGAATAACTTTCAGGAACGCGAATATCGTGTCTCCCGACGCGACGAAGCTTCCCCTAGCTAAGAACAACTCACACAGAAATTAGAAACGACTAGAAAATCACATGTCTGCATTGATCATCCTAAATACATATGGTGTAAAATTATTTCTTCAGTGTCCTAGAAATTTGAACAGTTTCATGACTATTTCTGGTTATAAATCGTTTGCACGCATATACTCATTGCTATAAAGAGATAATCTTTTATTTTTGAATTCGTAGTCTTGTTAAACCCATGACAAATGATATGTCCTTCAGGATAGGGAGATCCCACATCGTTCACTCTTTGACGTCTAGTGTGCAAGTGTTGTAAGAGGTCTAACATGCATCGCAGACCCCGCTCTCTGCAATATAGACGCTGCAGGGAAATCTGTTTTGGCGAAATGATACTCGGCCAGTAATCCTTTCTAATCCTGCACAACGACCGCAAACCTTAGCCATGATATGTTCTCACAGGCTTTTGTCACTGCGCATCCAAGTGACGCATTTTGCCGCTGGGTGGAAATCGAATCAAAAAACTGAAAAATTCAAAGCATGCATATATCGAAGTGTTTTACCTGTTCAATTATCGTACTCAAAAATTACTCAAAGAAATGAATCACTTTTCTCACAGATTTCGGCACTAAAGTGATCATCAAGTGATTACCCAAATCATTTTAACATCAAAGTTTCGATCATGAAAAGGATCATTCAAAATGAATAGGAATACATTGGAACCTTCGGACAGGGTCGTCCCTGGGGGATTAATTTGAGAGGGGGTGATTACCATGGCCCCGTTTATACTACATTCATTCGATCGCACTGAAAGGTTAAAATGGACACTCGTACCAATTTTACCTGCGCTCGGCCTTTGTACCAGTAGCCTCCTTTATTTGCCCAGCAATATCGTGTCAAGATGTGCGTGTAAATTTGGGTTGTATATGGTCGACATTGACCGATTGTAAAATGCGTGATTTAAAAGAATAATGGTACCCTAAGTTTATATGAACATAGGACTTTTACTTTATGTGGGAATGTAGTTATATAATACCTTATATATCTCTCCCCTACCAGGGTATTCCGATTAGGTGTTCAAAAACCATTGTTGTTTTAGCGTTTACATATATAGTACAATTGGCGATGCCAGTTTAAAATTACTGTGCATTATGTTTTGAACCAACATTAGGTCTATATAAGGGCGCTTTACTGTAAGCGGCCAAAATAGTCCGACTGGTCATATTGAAATAGAGGATTTTGCTAATAATATAGCGGCGAGACGGCGTATTCCGAGCCAGATAGATGTACTTGAATGCAGAGTTCTTGAAACACTCTAAAATACCAGTAATCTGTCTGTACCGAAATACAATAAGACAGGTCTGGTCGTTTTTTCCCTATAAAGAAAAGCGCTCGAATTCACATTAGCCATATTCTATTAAGTACTGGCTATTTAAGTCACAATTATCAGATGGCCAATTTGAATTTCATCTTCGCATTATGCTTTTTATACACGCTGTAAATACATTCTAATCATCGCTTTAGGTTATAGCACTGTCATCAGCCTTCCCTCCTAATTCAGCCAGGGGGCACCGCCCGCCTTAGCCATGAACCTTCCTCCATAAACCGTAGATCCATAAAAGCAAGTCTTGTCATCAAAGCGTTGTTTATACGTTTCACAGCAATGTTATTTGGGTGGAATTGAATATATGACCACCATAGTTTCAGCGACACTTTTTTTCCGAACATGTCAATGCCACAAAGGGTTAAACTCCTCGCCCTAGTACCCCTCGTCACTGCATGCCTTAATATTTTACCTTGACTTTCCGAATACAGGCAGTCATCGAATGCAATGGTTTAAATCATAGCGCAAATAACGCATCCGGCAGGCGTTAGAAAAGGATTGCACGTGGCGAACTGTTGATAGACAGGTATGATGAGGGTTTAGAGTTTAGTACGAAATAAAGGATCAGAAATAAGACAAATTCGCAAGCCCCGTTTATACCACGCTCGATTTTTGTCCCAGCACGCCTAAAATTAGCACCATTACCCAATTTTATCCGTGCTTAAGCTACTGGTACAAAGAACGAGCGTAGATGAAATTGGTACGAGTGTCCATTTTCGCCGGAGTTTGAAGTTTTACGTCCCCCTGCAAGCGAGTTTTTCCTACAAAATAGCAAACGTTTTGCTAAACAATAGTATCTGAAAACCGGTGGACGAAAGATTCGTTTCCGCAGACGGTTGCAAACATCGGAAATAGCCTGAAGCAGGGCTAAAAAAATACGGTTGACCAGTTTAGCATTCCCCTCTTTCAACCGTTTAAAATGCCAATTATATGCGTCATCAACTAAGTTCAGTAAAAAATCTTTAATCATAATAAAATGTTCCTTTAAAACTCATTTACGATATCCGTTCATCACTTTTCCCCAGTCCAATTTGTAACATAGTCACGTTTTAAGTTAAAATACTAGTCAGCATTTTATTTGCATTGAAAAATCCTTTTATATCGAAAAAACTATATACCAGTGTAAGGGATATTTTTAACTAGTATCCACGAATCTCGTGCTGTAGTTTAATTTGCCAAAAATTCCCCGTAGTGAAATAGGCTTTGTTATCACTTATGTAAAATGTTCAACAGTCGTTCCTCGAAAGACAAAGAATTCAGTTCTGAAACAAATTTAATATACACATCCACAGGTGCCGCGGTTTTAAAAGATTCTTGAAATGAATTGCTAGAAATTGAAGGCAGACTTTAGCACGGTTCATGCTGTGAGTAATTGAAATGAGCATGTGAAATTATGGGAGTGCATGGAATTTTGAAGGCAAATGCGTACCATTCAAATGCAAATCGTTTT